TGACAATAAAATAATAATAATACTAATAATAATAAATAATAGTAATAAATAATGATAATAATAAATAATAAGAAAAATTTCGTTTTAAAGTTTACATTTGCTTTTGAGGGATTTTGAAACTTTTTAAAGATTAACTGGTAAACATGTGCATTTTATTGAAAATGAAAATTTTCTATCTTATCATATTTGATATCTCTTATCTTCTCAAATTTATCATCAATCTTACTTCCTCTCTCTCTCTCTCTCTCTCTCTCTCTCTTCTATTCAGTACATATGAATCATCTCATGCAAAATTATTTTAAAATTAATCATTATTATATTTAAATATTTTCCAGCAATGAAATTACATTGCTAATATTACAAAGCCATTATGTGATTATCATTAATTGCATCTAATATTATTTTATAATTTTTATCAGATATTAATAATAATAATAATAACTATTAAACTATTTTAATATTTATTTAATATTTATTTTACTAATTCTGGCTAAAAAATTTCCCAACTGTTTTAATTATTAAAAAAATTCTCTAAAAATATTAATTAAATGTTAGTTATGATATTTTCATTAAGTATTATCAAAAATTAATGCAATCCTTTTTATTTTATTAAAAATTGATAATTTACTAATTACTAATATCTTATCAATAATCGATAATTTACTATTATTTTATCAAAAAATGATAATTTATCGAAAAAACAAAATTACATTCCAAAATATTATTCATGTCGCTCTTTTCAACAGTACAAATTAACTGATAACATTGAGCAATACATGAGATAGTATCACTTCATGATAATTTGCCATTATCTTATAAGTATCAATCAATAGTCTCAAATTTGTTCTTATCTTAAAATATTTATAATTTAATATTGTATGTATTTTGTATACAACTAATAGTTATGATAAAATGCTCCAAAAAAACATTCCAATTTATTATTTTATATTATATATTTCATTCAGTTGTAATTTAAAATTTTCATTAGCCTAAAAATTAGATTTTTATTTTATTCAAATTTTTCTTTCTTATCACAAATGTTTTAAGTAAACTTAATTAAAATATAATTTATTGATATCAAATGTTGAATTGTTTTTAATAAACAATTATTTTTTTACTACAATTACATACGAAGAAGCGGTCGGTTTTTAACTTTCAAATTTTAAATTATAAAATAAAATGAGAAAAAGTTATTTTGTTAGTTAAGGTAAGTTAGATATATTAATATAATAATATGAGGAATTTTTCTTTTGTGAATTTTTTTTACGAAAACTTTTAATCAAATAAAATTTATCAAATTAATAGAAGCAGGTATGCTAATTTAGCAAGAATGATTTCGCTTTCTTATCAGTGAAAAGTTTTGCCAGTTTTATGATAAAGAATATTTTTAGTTAAAATAATAATAATAGCAAAATTTGATAAGACATTAATTTTTCTTTTCTTTCCTTTTAATTTTGTTTTAATTGATAAATCAATTGATAATATGATAAAGGAAAATATTGCATGGGCGTAATAGCAGTAAAATATTTGGAATTGATTAATTTATTAATTTTAAAATTTCATTGTTTAATAAATGAAATTATTTGAGAAGTACTTTCTTACTTATTGATTGCCTTTTAATAATTCGAAAAATGTTAATAGTATATTCATTTCAAAGTATATTCATTAAATTACGGTGAGAAGAAAATTCTAAATCAGTAAATTTAGATATCAATAGAAAAGCAAATTATAAAGCGAACTAATTATTTTAATTTTAAATGAATAACAATAAAATACATATAAATAAGGTATGTTTGTTAACTATAAAATAATAACTTTGATAATTTCCTTAGCCAAAAAAATTGCTGTAATTTTGAAAATTATATCTTCACATATATTTTTTGGAAATTAGATAATTCATTTGTAATATTTCAGAGTACCATAAGTTAATCAGAATCAACAAAGTTTTCTGATTTCTTAAATTTAGAAAGAGAAGATAAAATTATTAATAATATTCATAATAGAAATTATTTGAAACATAATAGAAAGAAGAATAATTTAATATTATTCGAGTTAATGAGTGTTACCTTTTGCAAGATTCGGTCGAAAAGAAATCGTGCCAGCCGAATGTATAAATGGGATAAGATTGATTTCTATAGCTGAAATTCTAATTAACAGTGAATGATTTGCAATGAATCCTGAACTTTATCATAAAACTTCTTTAAAAATTTATCATGAATTGTTCTGCTAAGCAAATTAATCTGTTTCTTCCCGATAATATTTTTGGGTCTTTCTCTCAATCAGTATTTAATTTCGATTTTGCAGCTATCTGAAAATAATTCGATCATATTTGCATCATCATTTTGTGCCGGAGCATTTGCAGGTATGCTCGCTAAATCACTCGTTGCACCGTTGGAAAGAGCGAAGATTCATTTTCAAGGTGAAAAAAAGCAACCAATTTATTAATTAGGCAATAAAAGTATTATTATTATTAATATTGTTGTTGCTGTTGCAGCTATTATTATCTTTGCTATTATTACAAAAAATACTGATCATTTTACAGTATCATCAGCAACTCGCTATTCTCTAATTGGAGCTGTAAAATTTTTGAAATTATCATATCAAGAATATGGATTACTTTCACTTTGGCGTGGTAATTCAGCAACACTATTCCGTGTGATACCATATGCTGCTATCCAATTTGCATCATATGAACAATATAAATCAATATTTCGCGTTGATCACAATGGGTAAAATAAATAAGTTAATGAGTAAAGAAATTCAAATTAAACATATCATTTTAAATGAAATAATTTATTATAATTTATTCATAATAATTCATTTTCTTTCTTGTTGACTAATATCTGTAATTTATTAATGAAATAATATTTTCCAAACAAATTTAAAGAATAGATCTAACCGTACGATAAATGACAACTTCAAAGAGAATTTAAAAAATTAAGATATAATATTAAATTTTCGTGAAACTATTAAATTCTTTGTTCATTAATTTAAATAACACTATTTTATTGAAATTAATAAATTATTAAACAGATAAAATGATGAATGATTGATTATCAATAAAATATTAGCATCTGATTAATTAATTAATAATTGAAGCAATTTCAGAAAGCATACACCTGTACGACGATTTTTGGCTGGTTCATTGAGTGGTATTACTTCCACCCTATTTCTTTATCCATTAGATACAGCACGAACTCGACTTATTTCATCGAAACACACCGAATATACCAATCTTCGATCCATTTTTTATAAAATGTATACCATAGAAGGAATTCGGTATAAAATTATAATATAAACTTTCAATATTAAAAATTTTAGAAAATTTTCTTGAAATTTATAACTTTATTTAATTAATCGATTTTTCCATTTCCTATTGAATAAGAAGTAATCGTTACATAAAACAGGAAAAAGAAAGATCAACATTATCTTTTTAAGATTATTCTCATATTATTAAACAATAAATAAATTATTCATTACACTTTTTTTAATATGAACAAAAATTGAAATGAATCATTTGGTTAACATTCTTTTAAATTTCTTCAATTAATTTTTTGAATTTCTTATTGAAACATAATTTACTCTTTTTAATTAATAATGATCGATGCAACCTGAGCTATATTGTGAAGTGTTAGATTATTGCAAGTGGTAAATAATGTTGAAGGTCATTCTATTACGGAATAATACCATCTTTGTTTGGTATTATGGTTTATTCCGGTAGCAGTTTCTATACATTTGGCACACTTAAACTTCTTCATCGAGGTATTATTGGTTATTGCAACCATTGATCAAACACAAATGATCCATTTCATTTGTGATATATAACATCGATATCAACCGTAGTTTCCATCTTTGGGACTTTTATTCATAAAAATAATTAATTTTCATAATATTAGATATTCATGTATTATTTTTTCCCTTTCAAGATAGAGATGATACCAATATGCTATGAATGAATATGATGACCATTGTCCATTAAGACAAACTTTGAATTATCATATTTCAAGAATTTTTCATTGAGCAATTCAATATAATTTCCAATGTAACGAAAACAAATCTATAGAATTTTCGAATCACTACTAAAACTTATCTAATCATTACTTAACTTATCTAATCATTGCCTAAGCTAAACTTATAGATTTGCTAAATTGATTTGAATTATTCAAATTAAAATTAACTATTAGCAAATTTATCATTTCAATTTCTTAAGAATATTGGAATGAACCAATATCACCTTATCATCGACTCATTTATGGTGCAATTTCGGGTGCAGTTGGTCAATTTATTTCATATCCTATAGATATTGTCCGTCGGCGAATGCAAACGGGTCGAGTACCACTAAATCATTATGCATTTCATGTACTCCAAGATATTTATCGTAAAGAAGGAATTTGGAATGGTTTATATAAAGGAATTAGCATGAATTGGATTAAGGTATGAGAGATATTACTATTAGATAACGACATTTATTCTTCAACCTATCCTATACATATTCGCTTAAATTAACTGGCTTAACATTATATTCATTTAATGCTTAATACTTGAATTAAATTCTGAAAATCTTATATACCTAAAAGTAAGATCGTTTGTGTAAACAACCGATTAGAATCTTTAAACAAATTAATCAAAAATAAGCTAATAATTATTATCCGAGTAAATGAGAAAGAATAAACATAAATACACTCACTTTATTAAGCGTTAAATGTTTGAATGAAGGATTTAATTGAGACTAATAAGCAGAAATCTAACAACAAAGTGTCATTATAGTTAAGAAGTTAAAAGCACCTCAATAAAGATGGACATCAATTAGTATATTAAAGTAACATACACAGCCTATCTTCCACCATTTCCATAAATGTATGAAATTGCATCTTTTCAGGGACCCATAACAGTATCCATCAGTTTCACTATTTACGATTATACATTTTTGTATTTGCTAGAAAAATTACAGACGAAATCATGATTTTCAACAATGATTTATTATCATAATTTGAAACTTGATTCATTCTTGTTTCGGAAACATAGATAAAGACTACTTAGAAGCAATCAAAATGTACGAACTGAATTACAATTATTAATAAAGCTGAAAATTATAAATTAACAAAGCTGAAAAAAATTACAAGTTTCGAAGTTAATGAATACATCCTTCGAAGTTATCAAGAGAATAATGAAATTCGGCGCAGGTAAAAAATGGATATAAAGAAGCAATTGTAGATAACTGGCATGTTTCATAAATAATATAGATTAGAATCGTAAAGGCGTCCTACAGTTTCAATGCTTCTGTGTTAACATCAAAAGATGTTTCAATTTATCAGCAATACAATTCCTCGATAAAATGTAGATTTCCAAATGAATTCAAATTTAGGTATATGGAATATCAATGTATATCTTCCCATCATCGGGGTTGAAAAGAAACTCGGAGCCACTTTGATAGGAAAATAACGATTGCATAGGATGGAACCAATGATTTTTCTAACAATGATCAAAAGACGCGATGAGATGTACAATAATTATACAAGACAATAAAATAAAAACATTACTTCAAAAATAATGAGCAAAATTACAAAAGTAAAAAAATCGCTAAATTTAAATTAATTATTGAATTACCAAACTGCTAAACTAAATTATTAAATACTAAATTACTAAAAGAATCAAAGAAAGTATCATATTAAAGTTGAAATTGAGAATTGAACATATTATCAAAACATACAATGTTCATTATGGCATAACAAACGGATTAAATTTCTTCTTAGAAATACATAATCTCCAATTTCAAAAAATAAGATGAAATGCGAAATGTATCAAAGTCTTCTGTTCAGCCTAAATATCTAAATAAAAATTAAAAATATATGAAACTTTTGTCTCATAACCATTTTCTATGAAAACTTCAACACAAAACTATCACCATTAGTTGACTGTCACTACTGTAATTGTAGCTATAACTACATGGAAACCAAGTAATGTACAGCCACACGAAAGATTTTTTAAACAAATAATAACTTGTAGCGAGCTAAAATAATATCAGCACATTCGCTGCATATTTATTGTGCTCATCTGATACTAGTACTGAACAAATTTGACAAATATAATTTTTCATCGTTTCAATGTTTGGTTGATATCTGAAAACAAAGCGAGAAAAAACTTACTTTAAATCAATATCTTTTATTGATAAGAATTCTCAAATGTTTCCTTACGCTGATCAAGAAAAAAAGTAAATCAAACTTTTAATTAAATGCGAAAATAAAAATCGAAAAACATTAATTATAAATATAGCAAATAAGAATAACATCGCTGGCATTCGATTTAAACTTATCGTTCCTGACAACAATAATTTTTCGAACAAAAATACATTGCCAAAAATACATTCATAAGTTCCCATATACATCTAAAAGAACTTCATCATAAATTAGCCAAATCTCCTGAACCCATCCATCCATCTGTAAAAATCGGCCCAAAACGTTTTCCCAAAACGGTGTTTTCAAAAGAGATACAATCATCTGAGAACTATTGACAGATCGGACGAGATGTCGTGCTTTCAACATGGTATGGTCGTAGACAAAGTAAGGGATACATCAAATTTCCATATTGCATCATTCTCATGCTGTATTTTTTTCCCACTAAAAAAGCACAACATTCCAAAATTTCACTTCGAATCACAACGTGGAAACGGTGGCCGAAACATGTGAATAATTAAACCAATAATTTTGATACTAACACTGTAATGTGTTTGTGGTGCATTAACAACAACTGTCAGATTCCTGTTGCAAACCTTTTGTTGAAAGACAAAAGGCGTTGTCTACAACACCTGGGATTCCCAGGCCGTCTCCGATCCAAGTACTAATCAGGCCCAACGTTGCTTAACTTGACAGATCGGACGAGATGTCGTGCTTTCAACATGGTATGGTCGTAGACATGTCTTGACATACATTAACGATATACCAAATATCATAAAGTTGTGCTGTATCCAATTTGTTATCTTACTAGAAAGCAGGATGTTCCAAAATTTTACTTCAAGCTGCAGCAGTGAAAACTCTGGACCGGAACATTCAATTACCTCAAACGTGGGTAATTAAACCGACGATTTTGATGCTAACACTGTAATATGTTTGTGGTGAATTCAACAATCATCAGATTCTGTTGCAAATGTTTTGTTGAAAGGAAGTGTGTGTGACGCTTGTGATGTAACACTTCCAAGGATTAATCCATTTTCGAACATTACCTACTATACATAAACATGATGAAAAATGAACGGATACATCAAATTTCCATATTTTATCAGTAATAAAAGGACAGAAACAAGCAAATAAATAGAAAAGAAATATATTTACTTTATCATTTGATGATATTATCGCTTGTTAAATTTATGTTGTTGATGTACCAAATGTTTCACTGATTTTTGCTTCGATCATTAAGGAACTGAAACATTGTCGATAGTAACTGAACATTTTCATTGTACAGAACATTTCTTCCTCCCAACTACCCTTCCATAACATTCAGCAATTACCCTCCATAACATGTTGACGATATATTTCGCAATACCGATTTCAATAATCAGAATATTGAATGGTAGAAAATCTGCACACCACTGCGAAAATCTTCAATTCTCCGCTATGCACGACTGCACGGACCTCGCCTGAGACGATAGTGATGTGTTCGCGAAGTGTTAGACGATAATGCATGAGATACAGGAGTATCAGAGTGTCCCTGATGGAATGATATGATGTGGTGTATAATAGTGAAAGATAAGCGGAGAATGATGAGATGGAATATATTGAGAGGGCAGTAGTGAGGAGATGGGTGGCAACATAATCCAGGTTCTTTTAGGTAGGGCTTCCAAGACGAAATCGGGACTGGCGGGAGTGTAGCGTGCCACTCCATCTTTCATCTTGCGAAGCTTCGAATACACAGCAAAGTGCATTTTGTAACAAAAGCTGATAATTCTCATGATTTTACTCGATGTATTATATTGTCATTTAAAGAATTAGTATTTAAGGAATTCATTTTCTCCGTTATTGATGTAGTGTAACTTTAATTTCGTTCTTTTACCCTTTCATCTTATGAAGTTCTCATAGAGATGCTTCATTCTCTCTTCCATTTCAATATTTGTTTTGATTACTAATTTATAAAAAAAAAAAAATGTATGGTTGTGATTGACAGCTGAAAGGTCTGACATGAAAGCTAACGAGTAATAGCTTTGAATGAATGGCGTCGTCATCTTCTGATATCATAATTTCATTTCAAGATGAGATAACTTTCTGTTGATATTTTATGGTGATACTAGAATAGTCTTCCAGACTTCACTCATCCTGATCCATTTTTACAAAGTCCTCTAAGCACAGAGAGTACAGATTCTGAAATTTATTCACATTTCAACTTAATATCGAAGTAAAAGTGTGAAATGATATTTTTGATGGCCCTAGTGTACATACCTTTTTACGATTATGCAGTTTTGATTCTAATAATAGTGGTTGTTCATTGACATGAAAATTGTCTTTTTTGTTTTAAAATAAGCGTTAATTTGTTTCAGGATGGTATGTCCATCGTCGGCCGTAGTCGTAGCTCGTCGGCAATGCCAGCCATTTCTAATAGTTAGAACAGTACGATATATAACAAAAGGCGGTGGAAGCATCAATGATTCAGGTTCAGATGTAGATGATTTCGAAAATAACAATAGCACTGGCGAGCACACTGTATTTCGGCAACGGATTCCTTTGCTCGCAGCAGATCCGTTGACCGGCAGACATCTTACAACAAGGTGGAATATCTGGCGTACTTCATCCTCCAACAACCGTTGTGACGAGTGCGGCAAACCACTCAAAAACATACCATCATCGACGCGTGAGTGGTAATGTTTATTAAAGAATGACTGAACATTCGATGTGGACACACCGTGCTAGTCCTGAATGACGCGGTGATCAAGATTTCTATTTTTAGTATGTGTGTTCATTAGCGTTGCTGTATTAAAAGTTTGTTAAAATCCATAGTAGACTCCAAATAATTTAATCAATTAGGAAAATCTATTGCCATTTGACATAACTGTTATACCTTCATTGAATATTCTCTCTGTTCTTTTAGCGAGCTCACGTTATCTGATTTGTGAAAACTGTCGACGGTTGTTTAGCTGTGGTCCGCTTGATGAAGATGATGAAAAAGGAAGTATTTTGAAAGCAAGTGAAGCAGACAAGAAGCCGCCCTATCCAAAAGAGGTCATGCTTTTAATGTTTGCGATTCATTTGACCAGATCTTTAATATATATAGTTTGAAAGAGCTCAAATTTATATGAAGTTGATTATTATAAACAATTTTTCAGATTTATAATTTCCTGAATAAGTATATCATTGGTCAAGAGCAAGCGAAGAAAACACTCTCAGTTGGAGTTTATCAACATTACTTACGTCTTTATCATAATATCGAGAATAATATTGGTTCACCAGCAATCAATAATGCGGAAGGAAATCGGCCACGTACAGCAGCATCTCCCCCTGGTGTGCTGTATCAAGAAGATTACAGTAGAACTAGCCGTGTTGACATTCGTTTCTTCGCAGAAGCACCGGCGTCCCAACAGAAAAACCGAGTTTTTTCACCAATATTTCGTCCACTTCCTGAAAACGATGTTCCGATCCGACTAGAAAAGTCCAACATTCTGCTACTTGGTCCGTCCGGTGTTGGTAAAACCTTTATCACTCAAACACTTGCTCGTATTCTTGATGTACCCATCGCGCTATGTGATTGTACCTCCATGACCCAGGCTGGGTAAAGTTTTATTGCTCTTCATTACATTTAAACTTTCAATGTTACGTAGGACATTAGATTCTTTTCTTGGATAAAGGAGAAGAAAAACAGATTTGTTCCGCCAAGCATGTAAACATTGGAACTTTAAGTTAGGTTATTCACGAAGCCAAATTGCAGATGAGGAAATATTTCTATGAAAATGGAACTATTGCGTGGAATGTAGAAGCAAATTTTTTCAACTAAACTAATTCCCTAAATCAAATTACCAATCTAAACCCAAAGATTGTTATGAAAATGGAACTATTGCGTGGAATGTAGAAGCAAATTTTTTCAACTAAACTAATTCCCTAAATCAAATTACCAAGTAAAAAAGAGTCATAGAGAAAAAAAAATGTATGTGTTATGTATGTTATGACATTTTTTATAGTTATGTTGGCGAAGATGTGGAAAGCGTCGTGCAAAAACTTGTGCAGAATGCGGGTGGTAATGTGGAACGTGCACAACAAGGAATCGTTTTCTTAGATGAGATAGACAAAATAGCTGCAGCACATCATGTGCAATCTCATGCCTTCAGGGATGTCAGTGGTGAAGGCGTACAACATGCGTTGCTCAAATTAGTAGAAGGTGAGTTTATTTCCAGCATCATATCAATGTGTGAGTCATTTCATTGCTTAACTTAAGAATAGATGGCGAGTTCCCCAATTTTTTACGAAGTTTGTCGTTGGATGCACTTTTCTGAAAGAAATAGATAATTTTTTCCAAATATTTGCTATGCTGATTATCTGTTCGTCGTTTACTCTTAAGCATGCCAGGAAAATTATCGCTGTATTGGTGGATTTCATTATTCTTTGTCCATAGTTGCAGGAACATTGGTTAATGTGAAGAGCAGCCGTAAGTCAATGACTACACAACAAGACTTCGTTCAAGTTGACACAACGGATATCTTGTTTGTCGCATCAGGCGCATTCACCGCTTTGGACCGCATAGTTGGCAAACGACTTGATAAGAAGACACTTGGTTTAGGTTATTTCCATTGATTATTTTTTCATCAGCTAGATGTTGATGAAATTCACGGAAACATTAACCATATTTATTATACAAAATTTTGAGGTCTCTATTTATAAGCACGGCAATGCTCACTCCGGTATTTTAGGTGCAAAGTCAGGAATGCAGCGAATAACTGACGATGATAAGTTAGAAGAAGCAATCTCGAAAAAGCGAGACGATCTTTTGCGACAAGCGGATCAGGGAGATCTTATAAATTTTGGCATTGTACCAGAACTTGTTGGGCGTTTTCCAGTTATTGTGCCTTTTCATAGTTTGGATAAGGTTATTCTTCTTTGTCTGCATTAGGTCCTCATATATGTTTTTTCTTGAAATACAATTTTCCGAATCATGTTTTTCGCTTTATTGTCCGCCTCTATGATTTGTGGTCCGATAAAAATATCGACTTACACAATAACATCCAATGCGGATAGAAATATGTGCTTTATTTTCGTCGCACTAATTATTAAAATATTAATTACAGGGGATGTTGGTCAGAGTGTTAACTGAACCAACGAATTCACTACTCGCCCAGAAGAAACTTGAATTTGCCATGGATGGTGCAGATCTTTCGTTTTCCTCCGATGCGCTTGATGAAATTGCTGCGCTTGCATTAGAACGTAAAACGGGTGCACGTGCATTACGTTCCATTGTGGAAAAGGTTTGTTAACTACTTGTATTGCAAACCGTATTTAATATGAGTTTGATATGGAAATATTTTCTTATAATAATCAAATGCGCAGGTGTTACTCGAAGCGAAGTTTATGGTACCGGGAAGTGATATCGAAAGCGTTCACATAAATAGAGAGTGCGTGAAAGGTAAAGCTGATTATGTATATATGCGACGTGCGCAGAAGGCTACAGGTTAACGACAATATATTCTGAGGAGCGATTAATTTAAATGTTAATCTGCGACATCGCTGACTTCATTTAATAAGATTTTGAGCAAATAAAAGGGCAATGCATAAGAGTAAAATCGAAGCATACTTCCAGTCTTTCACATTCCTAGTATCCAATTAGCATTTGATAATGATGTTCGTTGAAAGGCGTTCTGTGTTGTGTAATTAATCTCTCAATTTGCAAGCTTTGATTTTGTGATCATTTTTTCCAGTTTCATTTTATATTCATACTCTATTTATAAATATTTTCTTTATTTTTTGTTCTGTTTTTTTATAAAGATGGTGAAGGAACAATTCATATCACTGTACAGTGAGGAGACCATTCTCGTGAAATAACTCAATCTATTTTAAGTTTTTATTAATTTTAGCAAGTTCACGAAATAAATATTTTTTGAATAAAGTCTTGCTGCCCTTTAACCCAGCGCCGTAATGTTCGAGAAATACGGGTGAAGCAGTTGCTGAGAACAAATTTGGATGGATGAGGATTTCAGCTTAAATCGAACTGAAGAAATGACGTCTCCTATTAACCAATGTGAAGTCTTGAATTTATGCATCAAACAATATGAGACAAATAGAACGTTGAGAGTACTGTTTACGAGGCAAGCAAGAAGAAGACATGCTATATTCAACTCTTAATTTTAAAGTGCGTCATCCTATTAAGGATTTTATTTTTAAGAAGTGCAAAAAAGTTAAAAAAAACAGCTATCATTTGAAGATACGGTTTACTACAAGGTGACCTGCTACATACTGGTAAAGTTGTACTTATTTTCGAATTGATACCACTATAAGCGGCGATTTTAGAGAGATGCAAAGAATCTGTTCGCATCTTCTATAGTGCTGAAACGAAATATATGGTGGCACTAAAATCTTTGAACTTTTATTGCACATTATATTATCGCACTATGCATAATTAATTTTTCCCATTGTAACAGCCTTACAGTGCATGCACGTTCACAGCAATAAATAATTGAAAGGAGAATTAGTAGACTGATAGATCAACATCTCCTAATGATCTTTTCTAGCATCTCAAACAACTTTTTAACATCACTATCCATAAATACTCGATCTTTCGAACCAGCGATTTTTATTAGTTCTTCTTCACTGGCTGGATGCTGGAAGTGAATTATCTGTTATTCATTGTACAGCTGTTAGTTTCAGTACTAAAGGAAATCAAGGAAATCTCCCAAAATTTCTCTTAGCGGAATTTTAGTATTATCAATTGGATTTTTTAAAAATGAATTTGCTTCGATGAGAGAATATATCAAAAAGTTTGAATAGAATAGAGAAGGTAATCGGCTTATAACTTATAACTCATAACCTATTTATCATATGTGACCTTAAAATTAAAGGAATATTCAAAGCTGGCTAAATGAATAAAATTATGCAAACCACTGCATTTTATTTTTCAATTTATAGAAATAGTGTATTTAGTTAATGCAGTAAAGGTTGAAAAAAGTTGACTTACCTGGCTACTAACAGTAACAGCGAATATATTAGGTATTAGATTCCTTAATGAAGTAGCTGCTTCCGTAGTATCTTTTTGTCCAAAACCATCAGTAAATATAATCACAAAAGGTGTTGCTTGTTGTGGTCTTGCACCTTTCGTTGATGAATATTCTGCTATTGCCTATAAAAAATGGACAATAATGAAATATATTATTAGAGAAGATTCAAAAAGATAATGGTGCAAATTCTAATCTAAACATTAATCTGTAAATAGTTTATATAAAGAACCTGTAAGAGTGCGGCATGTATAGCTGTAGTTCCACTACTAAACGGAATTTCCTGAAGCGCTTGTAACACTTTTTGTTTCTCTTGCGGTTTATTAAATGACCAGATTGTTTTTACTTTCTCTTTTGCTGCGAATTTAATAATCGCTATACGTGCATTATCTGGACCTATCCGAAGTCGATTTATTAATTCTGCAGCAAGTTCCTTTTCACGATTGAATATTTTCTCCACAGAGCCAGACGAATCAATGAGCATAATAGCATCAATTTCACAACCTATAATTAAATTCATACATAAAATCAGAAATATTATCACATCATCATAACCTCTATATAGTTAATGCTTTTAAAGAGAAAACGAAGAAATTAACCAGGTGTGAAAATAGTGGTAGTTTGTGGAGCAAGAGTGGTATTTTTAAGTTGACGATGGAAAGTGGAATTTGGGATTGTTTGAGTAGTTCGTGATCTGGAACTTTTTGATGTTCCTTTCAGTTGTTCTTCCTTCAAATTTTTGCCATCTAATAATGTTCCATTCTTTTTCTCTCCTTTCGATAAAGCGAACTGTTGCTTTGTAATCTCCTTGTTTATAGCTTTTATTGTTGGTCGTGAAGTTCGAGTATTTATCACAGTAGTAGTCGTTTCTTTCTCACTAATAGTCTAAACTTTCAACTCATATTTTAAACAGAAATGGTTAGGAAAGTTCGAATCAAAAGGAAGTTTCCAAAAATAAAAACTATCTCATGAATTTAACACTTAGAGCAAACTTTTTCATTCTCCAATTGTTTCAAATTGCTCTTCACTTTGCTAAGAATATCTTTTCTTCGTTGTTCGCCCCGTTTGCTGCTTGCAGAAGTGCTACGGATGGTAGTAGCACTAGTTACTGTAGAAAATGGAGCAATATGCGGTGACATCTATAATATTATGATTGAGAGTATTATCATGAAATCAAAAGTACAATTATCATAGGTCAACTAAGAGAAAAGAGAAAGGGTAATTAATAAGTGCTAACATTAAAAAGCCTAAGCTTATTTCTTCTGGCAAATTTTTTTATCAACAAGGTAAATGTTGAATAGTTGCTGTTGTCATAATGTATATCTGCTACAGTTTATTTTAAAAGTTAGAAAGTATTGTGAGATGGCGCAAAAAAATACCCGTGTACATCGGGCCTTATTAGCAACATCAGCAGCATCAAGTATAAGTTTGGCGAATTCAGCATTGCGATCATAATTAAAGATATTATTTGAGGAGCCTGTATACTTCGATAATGTGTCCACATCCATCAATTTACCACTGTCCACTGCATATTTGCTAAGACTTTTCGCCTATAGTGCAATCTTTCATTCCGATTAACTTTTACACTTTGTCATTTCAAATTTAAAGATGAAAAAACATTATGAAATAGAACGGCAAAAGAAAGAAATAGTTTAACAAGAAACGATTTTCGTACGAAAGGAAAAACAGCAGGTCCCGGGGAGATTCGAACTCCCGTCGCAGGATTCAAAGTCCTGAGTGCTAACCACTACACCACGGAACCATACCCCTTTCAACCTTGTGGGATATGTGACAAGAGCGAGATATTTTTCATTAATTTTTATTGTTTTCCATCAAGAACAGAAAACTTCATATCTAACCCCTATTATATTCTACAGTAGGCTTGCACTACAATAATCCTTACATGGATACATGACATTTATTCAATTATCCCAACACAAAGCCGTTAAATTTCGTGAGATGATAGCAATATGGAAATATAATATGAGATACGTGAATGTACATGGATTAGCTAATCGATAGATGGATTATAAGATGATCTGAGGGCATGTTTGTATCAGCTAATCGCTTGATAGAACAGGTCCTATTTTTTATCTTCATATGATTACAAATAGTAACCGAGCGGCGATATTAAAATATTAAGATTTGTCATTTGCCTTACCTGTTATTAATAATTTATTACATACTGTAATTATTGTGAAAATATGAAAAAAGTGTTTGAAAATACTGGTCTTCTCTTACTATGGCTATTTACTTGGCTAATTGATTTACTTGCATGCTATCCTTGCAGGAATTGGTCAACCATAAACCTTCCAAGCTGTATATATATGCTTACTCTACGAGGTCAAAGAGCTCATGATTGCTGGGTTAAATGGAATAAAGTTATATATTTTATATGCAGAATATCTCAAATTCTGTTATCACATTATGACACCGAATTTTCTAAAAGTAAGCTTGTTGAAAATCCCACCAATAAAGTCGCTCCGTAGCAAATGAAGTGTCAGGTCCCGGGGAGATTTGAACTCCCGTCGCAGGATTCAGAGTCCTGAGTGCTAACCACTACACCACGGGACCACTTACCCATAATCTTACTGATTTGATATTAGATAATTTCACAAGTTCGATTTTCAATCTTCAAGGGGAGATAGAGAGAAAAGAGAGAGAGAGAAAGAGAACGAATTTTTGAAATATTAACTTAATAATTAATTATTTTTTCTTTTCTTTAAAAAAGCAAGAGATAAACTTACGGTACGCAAATGATCGACGGCATTGTTAAGTTCATCTGCGTTATCATCCGATCGTCCATCACCCACAATAACAAGCATACCACGTGCATCCTCTCTATATCCTTTGTTGTACTCTCTGAATAATGATTTCATAATCAAAACATTTCAACTTATAGATGAATAAAAATTATTTTTCAAAATAAGGAAAAAAGCAAACTTACTGAATAGCAAAATTGATAGCTTTAGCATAGGATGATTTGCTAGTTTTAGGCCTTATCGATTCTACTTTGGTGAAAATACTATCCCTATTCTTCAGATCATCCATACTAATAACTAATTCTGGTTCACTGTTGAATGTTATCACAGTGATTGTCACTCGACCACTATGTTTTGTTACTGGTAGTGAACCTGCAAAGAATCAATTACATGAATTTGAGGATTAAACGAAAAATGATGAAAAAAATTCATCGAAAAGATGATTAAATAATGGAAGTTAGAAGAATCTGAAAAGAAAAATAAGAATTTTATATGACTATTACTTACCGAGCACATCTAATAAAAGATAACGATTGGATGAGATGGATTGTTCACTTAGATTGTCTCTTTTAATGGCATTATCAAAGAGGATAATGATATCCAAATTAGGAGTGCTACAGATTTGATTGTTGAAATTACTCGATGATGTTTTTGCATTTTCCAAACTTGCAGCAGCTGGTATATTACATTCCTTTTCATCGGTAAGCAATGAGACAACATCGGTTAAGAAGCTGAAATGATTTCGTCATGCAAAAGATTCATTATTAAACGCAAACAAATGAAAAATGTATATAACCTTTCGGTGGAATTGTCCCTGTAAATGCGATCTGTATTACCAATATAATGTTTAAGTTCGCGCAAATCAATATTCTCTCCAAGAGCTACACCGAATAATTCTGCACCAGTAGCTTTAAGAAGCTGGCTTGCTTCAATTACTTTCTCCCACGGATCCTGCGACATCCCATCATTCATCAATACAACAACCTAAATTTGTCTTTGCTATGATACAATGTTTTAATTGTGTGAAATAATCTTTGTGTAAAACTATTAAAGTGACATTAAATTTTTCAAATAATATAAATTGAATCGTTGATACTTGTATGGCATCCGGTCTTCTTCCGCGCTTCAAATCCTGTACCGATAATTCTACCGCTTGAGCAGTAAAAGTACTTCCACCGTTGTATTTGATATCTTCAATAGCATGGCGCACCATCTACAAGCAAATAAAATGAAATTATCATTAATATTGTATACTTTTTCCCCGTGCAGAAAGAGAATCATCGTAGTTACTGAGGAGTTACTTTAAACCTGGAAGTAAAAAAAAAAAAGAAAGTACACTGACCTGTTTATCTCTACCTAACCCCAGTGTTTGTCGTAATGTTGGTATCGAAGTGAATGAATTTATACCAACTGCGACATGTGTTTTGTCAGCATCAATTGGTAAACGTTCAATAAGTGATAGAGCCAACTCACGTTGATGTTCAAAAACTTGCTGACGACTGGTTGATGCATCCAAAATTATTTCTAAGTCCATCTTCGAATATTTACATCTATAAAGATAGAAATCTTCTGATATTCTTATCCTTTATTTTTATCATGAAAAAGATATAATTACTAGTGAATGAGACGATACATTTTTGATTCTAATGATTTTACGATACGTGTCTGTTCCACAAATTCCTCATCCGTAGCTAAAGTGCTATTATCAGAATTATTCGGCGTAATGAATTCTTGTCTTCCATCCAAATGATTCTCTTTCTTCTCATCACTACTATTTTTTTGCTTGATTTCTTCTTGGAGAATCCTGCAATAATTCTAATTAAATTTTATATATTCTCAAGTACTTCTTTAAGAATAACTTTCTTATGATTTACCTTTCTATCAGGGAATTGCGATCTATCCCTTCCACAAATGCATGATTTTCTGTTGTCCTTTTACAATTCAAGATCACATTACTAATATCCTGTAAAGAATCATTTGAAAATATTTCAATCATCCTTAGTAAAGTTAATTTTTCCAGTGTTTAAAAAGCAAGTGCCACTTACTATTAAATAAATATTACTGATACTATATGTAGGTGAAAAAAATATTGATATGTGATACCTCAGTGAAATTATCCACTCTATCACCATAGTATACATGTGCTACACTTCCTGTGTATTCTGTCAATTCATCCGTCTCGTATGGAGCCATCGCATAAATTTCTCCATCTGCTTTGCGCAAATTCAAAGCTGTACTCTGAATAATGAACTATTGAATTAGTGAGTAAGTAACCGATCATCATGTTAATGATTGATCATAAGTAGAAGTATATCTTGACAAATAACGTTTCAAATAAAAGTGCATCTTAATAAACAATATCATCGAATGTCACTTTTAAATGTGCTCCACCCAGCGTGTATCGAAAAAAACATTCAAAGAATGCTTACAAAAACTCAATTCAAGTTAATATCAAAATTATTTTGATTTAGAATTTGAAATGGGACTGAAAATTAGTCTGTTATACCTGCGTAAGTTGTTGGATATCTTGATTGTTACCGTTGGAAAAGATAACGATAACCAATCGAGCTGAAGATCGTCGATTTGAAGCTATTTCGAGCAGCGCTGCTTGTACACCTGCAACTAATGAAGAAGTTCCACTTCCAGTTTGTTCTAACCGTTCCAGCTCATACAGTATATCCTCTGGTGTTTGCTTTTTTTCAAATCCGAAATGCACTTTTCCCGTATCACTGAACTTTACCATTGCTACTGCTAATCGATTCTGAAAATCAGCCATTGCATGTCATAGAGCACAACAAGAAAAAGTGTTGATTCCGCCATAGTATCATTAAAAGGTTGGAATTTAATTTTTTTACAACATTTAATTTAAAAGTGAAGTGAAAAAGATACCGAAAAATCTTCCGGCGGAATCATTCCAATCAGATCCATTGCAAGTGCCTTTTGACTATTGAAGTAAGTTTCAATGCTGGCGGAAGTATCGATTATAAATAATAAGTCCACATAATCATCTTTGCATGGGAGTTCACTGAAATACATTAAGAAAGGTAAAAGAGAATATTCCTTTAAGGCCTTTCATTCAATAATGAAATGGTGTATCGCAGATACAATTTTCTATAAAAAATTGAAGAACTTGTTAAAATTAAGATTGCTTCAAATAAGAAGAACATAAAACCTCATTGATGTTGCTGAAGATTCCCGTCTTATCAATTCTTTTTCTCCTATCAACTTTTTCTTCTCAGAATTTGATAACACTGTTGCAAGTTCCGCCTGTAAAAAATTTTTTGACTATTTGTTACTCCAATTTATGTAACCATGTTCTAAATTTTTTTTCCTTTATATTTGAATATTTTGATAGCCTATTAAGCAATGTCTTACAACAAACCAGTGATTATCATGTCTTCAATAACAGTCCGGAAAGTAAACCATTGACAGTCTTCGATTAATTTCCGATTAAGTGACAATCCATTAGGTTGAAAATGAAGGCAAATAATGCGGGATAAAAAAACGGATTTAGTCGATATGTTTTCGTTCTCTATCACCCGATTATTAGACTGATATTATCACTCCTTTACTCATATTTCTACCTCTCTTCCATACCTCACATGCACACATACCCACACATTCACACATACACGCACATTCTTGGATTATTGCTTGTTTCCTCGGTGATTGCTATCACTGTTCGCAGATTGCATATCATCTGATTTCTTCATTTCTTCCTATTGAAAAAGTGAAATAGAAGAGAAGGACCTACTTCTGAAGGTAGCGAGGCAATTGGCGCAGATGGATTTTGGCATTTCAGCAATGATACTGTAGCATCGTCCATGAATTGTTCTTCCCGAGCATTCGCATATACCAGCCATTTACTTGCTGTGTACAATTCCAATTCCCTGAAATTTTTATAATCACATTAACTTAACTTCTCCTGCAAAATTTTCACATAAGAAGTCAAATATGCTATATCATGTTTACCAGTCATTAATCACTTACCACTATCTGTTGTTTATGCTTGTTTTTTACATTATGAAGATTCAAACTTATCAGAATCCCCCTTCACACCATTTCAGAAAGACATTGAACTCTTCTCTTTCACTTTTTTCAAATATTTTATTTCCTTTCCACTATTCTGCAAATTTATGTTATCACCGCATGGATAAATATATCGCCCGGAACTGTGAACTTGTTGAATTTATTTCTTCTAGCGATAGACTAAAAAATTTACCTGAAATAGTAATCGTGATTAGCACTAATTGCATAAACAATAGCATTAGTAGCACGAAGACGATCGGCAGCATCTAAAATATCCTCCCAACGATCCTGACTGTGACCATCCGATATGAGCACAACCATTCTTCTGCAACAATTTTTCTGACACTTCAAAAATATGAATTATTTCGTAGTGAGCAGAGACATTCCATTTCATTGCTACTTCTTAATATAAATCATTTTATAAACATACCGTTCATGTGATATTTATAATGTCTATTTTCTATTTTAAAAATGAAGAAAACAGTTTTTTAAATAATGACAGCATAAATCAACTTAAAAAACTTTATTAATAATTCTACACCCTTTTCCAGATGAAATGTTTTAAAAAAATCAGCAGTATACATTTTTCAAATGATCAGCAATATTATTGTCAAAGATATTGAGAATCAAAATTTATGAATTCATAAAATGAACTGCTTGAGGTGCATACCGTAACCTTGAAGGGGTCACTTCCCAAAAAATGACGGAGTGGGTAATAATGATTAGTCATTCATTCTCTGTTGAAAAAACGAATTGTCAGAGAAGCAGAAAAGTACCGATCTTATATAAATATTTGTATGAAGATGTTTTCATTTACCTGACACCTTCTCTTCCTCTTTTATAAATTTCTTTGATAGCCAAATTAATACCACTTACTGAAGATGTATTTCCACCAGTATGTGTGAGGGAACGTAGAGCGTTTAATATCTGAAATGAAATGATGTTTCTTTTTTTTACCAGTACATAAATATCATCAACAAATAGGAAGCGAAATTTTCGGAGCATACCTCTGTCTGATTGTTAAATTCATTAAATTGAAAATTGATCATAGCTTGTGAGCTGAATGATACAGCAGCAACTCGAATTCGATAATCAAAAGCTGATGGTGGAATTTGTTTTATCTGAAAGGGACTAATTTGGATAATATTTATTTCACAGTTATATAAATTGCTCCAGAATCCGAAATTTCTTTCTGCACCTTTTGATATTCTGTTATAATATCGCTTTTTTCCTCTTTCTCTTTCTCCCTCTCTTTCCCTTTCTCTTCTTAATTTTTGAAGAGTGTTTTTCTTCTAAGTGGCTAAATGTTAAATGTGAAATGTTTTAGACAAATTAAAATGATGAGACCAGTGTAGTAGCAAAGTGCAACTGTTTTTGGAAGGTATTTTCAACGCTTTGCGATGTATCCATAATAAATATAAGATCGACTAGACAATTTGGATCTTCGTTTTGATCCTGTAAGAAATGCACATACAATTCTGAAATTTAATATCACAAAATGGCATACCCTTACAACTGAGGGCCACATATATGCAAGTTTTTAGAAAGGCGTCTAAGCTTAGGTATCTCAGGTGAGTTATCTCAGAAGGTCAAGATCTTGCTTGACCGCGGTAACAATCAAATTATACTAATTTAAAAATTTAAGGATTTAAAAAAGCATTAAATCAGTCTTTCATAAATGCAATTTTTTATTTCAAATAACTGTCTACTTTTATATCCCTTAGGTTTTCCAAGACACCTTGATGCTTCGTTGAAATTCTTTTACAAAAGGAAAAAATGTTTAATTGGATAACCTTCAAATTAATCTCCGTAGAAGGGCGATCGAAGTCAAGGAACGTTTCATTTTCCGTAATTGATTTCACCGTCAAAACTGGTTTGCTTGCTACGTGAGATTGGTCTAAAGATGCTTCAAGTTTCAGAAAAGATAAGTGATAGCTAATAAAAATCAGTTGAATAATTGAAAAACACTTACCATGGAAAAATGTCTCAACTTCTTTACCAAAAGATTGATCCGTTTTCGCTTCTACTACAAAATCTTCTTTCACTGAACTGCTATCATCCAAAAGCACGTAATTTGCAAATTTCTGCAACATGGAAAAATAAATAAATAAATTGAATTTGAAGCTGCGTAGCTTCTTTTGAATACAACAAGAAAAGTGTTACCTTCTTGTAACGTTTGATATTTGTTATAAATTTACTCTGATCACCAGCATATAGCAAAAGTTCATCCATCAAATAGTTGTCTGTGATCGGTATGATATACACTTCTGCTCCTATTTCTACAAATGGAATAGATTCACAAATAAGTTCATCTGAACTGAAGATAAAGAATTAAATAAATTACACATGCAACAACTCTTGTCAATTATTATAGACAGAGATCAATTTAATAAGTCCCAATTTAATAGGAGAAAGTTAAAAATTTTGAAATTGGAACTTTCAAAATTACAATCCTTTCTCGTTAATTTTCAAAAATAAAACTAACGATGAAGTTTAGCAGCAGTAATAGCAGCAGTTTGCACGGAATCTTGTATACTGCCATCTGTGAGAATCACAAAAATACGCTTCCGAGGTTCTTCACCAGGAACCCTTACTTGTCGTAATGCAATATTCACCGCTGAAATGCAAAAAATTATTTTTAGATATATCATTTGGTCAATTTGCTATTTGTTTTGATCGATAACACAGTGTCTAATATTCTACCTTTCTTATTTTAATTACAAATGTGATCAAATCTTGTAGAACACGGTAAAATTAATTTTACCTCAACAAAACGAAATTTTTTAATTGATTTCTTTAAAATTAAAAAAAATCATTGACCTATCCTTAATAGCAACTGAATACCAATTTATTAAAATTTGCTATTGAAATGATATAGGATGAGGGAAAAGCTTAAAACTTATCCCTGAATTAAATCTCAGGTATAAATTTGCTATTTCAATATATTTCAAACATAGTGTGATATATCCTCAGTTTAGTGCTGATCAATTACACATTGTATATTTCAAGAATTTTAGTACTTTACAGTTCTATACTAAAATCAAATCTTAAAACTCCATCTTGAACACTACGAAATGTAAAAAGTGAAATCATTTTGCAACATTTATCATATGGTTAATTCAATATTCAAAACCTTGATTATCTTTATACCTTATTCATTACATTCCCATAATTTAATTAAAAATGAAAGAGATAAAAATTGCCACTCATACAAAAGTATTCTTCTTCAAAAGAATTCTGAATAGAAACTGAAATAAAATGTAAATGACTTGACCTTTAACATATCTTGAAATTCCCCCTATTTATGTTGGAAGTTTGACATTACAATCATTAATTACCTTCAGATACAGATGCATTGCTGTGTTCATTTTGCAGTTTTTCCACAGCATACAAAACATCTTCTTTTGTTGCTGACTTTCTCAGATCGATTTCAATGTGAGCAATATCGGTGAATGTTATAAGCGACATTCGGATTCGTGAATCGGAATCAATGATTTGTAAGCTCCTGATTAACTCTTCCAGAAATCTTTTCGAAGCTTCGAAATCATCATCTTTTGCTGTTGATTTATCCATCAAAATGATGAAGTCAACAGGATCTATAATATTACAGTAACTTATCCTAACAAGCAGTATTCTTTGTTAAATCCAAATTCTATAATTACAAATGGCAAAATCATTCCTTAATTGCTTTTCATAAATTTTTTAGAAGTAGCCATCAATCTGTCATTTATCTCATTCAGTAAACAGATCAATAGTTTTTGAATTATAGATAATTATAAGAAAGTTTTTGAATTATGGATAACTATAAGATATAATAAGCCTTCTTAGTATTCAACTAACAACAATCAGACTTTATTTAGGTAACATCTCTTTGCAAATTTAAACTAATATCAATTTTTTTCAGTAAAAAATTTTGAAATGCTACGAACTAATTTAAACCTTTAAGTAAACAATCAAATACCGTAATCTTGCAATTTGAGCTTCATCTGAGCTTCTAAAAGATGATATAAAATTATAAAGATCTATAACACTATTGTAGTGGTAATCTATGACAGTATTGTAGCGGTACTATTGCAGATAACCGTAACATAGCATGGTTATCTGCTGTGATGATATACATGCATGCAAACAGCACTAATACCACACTTAGTGTAAGTGCAGTTTTAAAATGAATAAATCCATAAACTCTTTACACAATTAATAGTAATAATTGCGATGATGGAATAAATATTAATATCGCATTTTGTTCATGAAATAAAATGAATACCGTTGTGAATCTGAATTGATTCGATGATTGGAGAAAATATGATATCGATAGATTTATCGTTTTCATTGGTCTCTTTCTTTAACAACTCATTGCCTGAATAATAGCTAATTACGCTTGAATTCTTTGTTAACAAATTTAAGGATGAAAGAAATTGCTTACTTGCATCTGTAACGAATCGTCCGGTACGTCCATCTACGTAGATTTTCCATCTATCTTTTGTAAAAGCTTCCAGTATATTGAATTTATACTGTTTACTAGTCGTTATTGCATAGACAATTGTTTCTTGCAATTCATCTAACTTTCTAAAATGTTTATTTTATGATTACTTCTTTTCTAGAATCTGTCACAATTCAATTAGAAAAATAGCATAGCTAATATGATTATGTTGAAACAATGAGACAAACTTGGCAGCTTGCATAATAGAATGTTGCAAATCTTGAGTACTACCATCGGAGACCAGAATAATTATTAGTCGAGCATTTGGCCGTCGAAATTTTTGAGCATACTGTAACAATAGCTACGATCAGTAAATGAATATTGATTTATCAGTAACCTTAAATGATGTGAAAATATTCCCGATTGCTAGCAATTCAAGCTTATCATTAAAATTCACTGATAAACGTTTTATGAAGCAATGTAAAACCTGAGTTGCAAATGTAATTCCAGTCACTGCAGAAGAATTATTACTGGTTATATATTTGATTGAATTGAAGTGTTGTAAAATTTGCGCTTTGGTTGTTGCTCTGCCCCATTCTAAATTTAATCGTGCTTCCTAAATACCGTCCATTATCATTCATGTAATTTAACTTTCAAGATGAATTGAAATTCTCCAATGTGATGAAGTTCAAAAATTTAGTAACCGATAAATTAAAATATCCGATAATTGAGAATACAAGATTTTATAAAATGAGAAACCGTATCTATGCTACGATAGTATCATAAGTTCTAATAAACTCTGAAATCGAAATTGATTTTGTTGCTAATTCAATGATTAGAAATTAACTTCCACTCAGCCATTTTATTTCTATTTTATTAAATTACAAATTTAGCATCTTGCATACCATTTATAAGCAGCTTTGGATATTTAGTTAAATGTTGAATGATAAGTGAATACTAACTTCAGTGAAAGTTACAACAGCTATTCGAATTCGTCCTTCATTGATATCTTTATCAGTCACTTTATTAATGAATTCCTTCATTAATTTTAACTGATTTTTCAAATCAATAAACAAATCTGGAGAGAGATCGATAACGAAAAGAAGATCGAAATAATCAATTTGTGGAGAGATCTAAATAACTTCTCGCTATTAGCTATTATCAAATAATGTTGAATAAACGATTCAATAAAAAAGTTGTAACAATAAAATGACAGATATATCAGGTAGAAAGAAAAAAAATAAGTGAAATAATACTTTGGCGGTAATGTCCTCCTCAATTTGTCTCTTTTCGATAGTTTCATTTATGATTAGTTTACTTTTCTGGTTTTTCTCCAATTTCATACTCTGTTTATTATTTGTTAGCGAACGAATATCTTGCGATAACTTCTCTTGTACACATTTATTAATTAGAGAAGAAATCGTATTAACAAATCTGAAAATGTACAATATTTTTGGATGATATATGATTTCATTCGAACATATGCTGAAACGATTACGCTTCCATGTGACATCGTTCAACATGGCTCACAGTAGAATTGCAGTCCTTGGCGAAAGTCGTTACAAGTTTCAAAGGTTATATCATCTATCATGAAGTACAAAGCAATTATAATAAGAATATTTCTTCTCAGAATTTTACTGTAAGAATTTGTTGCAAAAAAAAAAACACAGATACCGATTTTGTTCTGCTCCAACATATATTCGTCTCGTATCACCTGTATAAAGTGTTAGCTCGTTTAAGTCATAATCTTGACTAATCGGTACAGCAAATACTTCGACATTTGCGCTTTGCAATTTTTTACCAGTTATTTGCGCTGCATGCCAAAATTCTTGACCATTTCCATCCGATATTAAAATAAATATCTGTAGCAAATATTTGTATTATAAACGAGTTATGATCCAATTTCATCTAATATACGGCATAATTACAACGAATATTTTTGAATATATCTTTAATTATTACTCCTTAATATTAGAACAGTGTATAATTAAGTACTTGAATTGCATCATTTCTTCGCCAACGTGATAAATCTGCTAGAGCTATATCAACAGCATTTGCTATTCTTGTACCGCCACCGATGAACTGAATTTTATCCAATTTTGCCATAATTTCATCAGGAGTTTGACCTATTTTAGAAGGTATTACTACTTCAGCTGAAGATGCAAAATGCACCATAGATACCTGTAATATGAAAAGTTTCAAAGAAAGACTGCATTAGTTTATTTATATGTCTATTAGAATTGATTATATTCCTATTATTACTTACAGATGAAAAAAATAACGGAACTCGATAATAACTTATTGAAATAGAACATATGAAATACCTGAATACGTCCATCTTCCATTGCCGCTGGTAACAATGAATCAATTAAATCATGTACTAATTTACGTTCATCCTCGAAAGCATTAAAAACTGAACTACTTGAATCCAAAACGATCATCAGATCCACCTATAAATTTGAACATCCTGTTGAAGAGCAAGAATTAATATATTTAGCATCTAACTTAAGTTAATGTTATACAATTTATACCATGGATATAAAAAACTGACCTTGTTAGCCTTGCATACTCTTTTCAGTTTATCTTTTAATTGCGTTTCTTTTGCTTCATATGTTCGAATTCCAAATTCTATTGCAGTTTGTGAAGTTGTCGCCTCAGCATCAATATTTTCATCGAATGATTCAGAAACATGCGAACATTGATCAGCCGCCTATATCAAATATTTTCACGTTTCATAATTACAGAAACTGATAGATTCATTCATATTCATTATATTCTTTTAGTCATATGTATACCTTTTAAATTTATAATTCACAATTTTTGTTGTATTAGCTAATTATTGTGTAACAAATATGATTGCATAAAAATAATAGTGCAAATTGCATGTGCATGCTTTTATATATTGTTAAATTTTAGACAATATATTGTGATTCACTTTGTTAAATAATATTAGTACAAAAAATTAATCCATAAAACGAATAGTTACTACTACAAAAATAGTAAATAATAATAATAAGCAATAAGTAATAAGTAATAATAATATTAACAATAATAATAATAATAATAATTTCGATAACCTAATATCTTGTTTGAAAACTTTTTCATGTTTTTCAGAAATAACATACTCTTTTGATTTCCTCATAAAAGACATTACGATCAGATTCTGTTGCATATACATATTGACGATTTGTAGTGTAGCCTATAAGAGCCGGAAGATTCGGTCTCGTTATTGACGTGATAGCGAATAACTTCGCACCAATGAGTTTTAATCTATTCCTAAAATAGAGTAATAGCAAAAACGATATATCAAAGTAATGAGTGAAAATGGATGTAAAATTCTATCGTAATTATCTATAAAATAATCTCATTAATTCTAATATAGTTTGATTCAAATGAAATGCTATTTAACTTACCTAGCTTCCAGTGTTTCGGCTATCAAATCCATTGAAACACCATTATGAGCCAGAATAACCAATTTATTGGAATTAACACGACCGGTATCGATAAACTGCTGTGCAGCTAATTCAAGTGCTCGAGCTGGTGAACTGCCAAATTTGTTATGAGATTCCAATGTTTTGGTATAATCCACTACCTGAATAATTTCGAACCAAACATACTAAACTTATATTTTACTATTTGCATAAATAGTAACATACAGTACTCTAATTCAGTATATAGTAACCGTTTGCTAGCTATTAAAGACTAAAAATAATCTACTACAGTATTTACATTCACAAAATGAAATATTTCCCCTTAACCTTTCCATATTGAGAAGCAAACGTCGATGTAATGGGAAGTAAAATGACAGGACTTTGATGGAATTCTATAACACCGTATGAGATATTACGTTCTATTGATATGTTTGCTAAATACCTGAAAAATTAACTTATATCATATTACTACTGCTAATACAGGCTGCAACATATGACTGCAATTTCTTTATGAATAGCATCTGTCATTGCATATATTGGTTTTCTATTTGGATATTATGATAATGATATCTAATTATCACATTTTTAATTCAATAATATTGTTTATTGCTATGAACATATGATAGCAATAGTTTCTGTCATATCATATTATGGTAATTATCGTACCACAATTTCAGTCTCATGCTTTCTGATATTTTTCTATAACTTCATATATCTGGAAAGAACAATCAGGTATCAATTATCCGGAGTGCCTACCTGATAGCATCATTAATTCTGCTCTGTTGTTTATTGAAGTCCATGGTGTTGTTGAAGTCGTTAACGTCTACCAAAAATATCACATCTAATGGTCTTCTTTCACATTGTACTACAAATTAACAAATAAGTTGATTATTCTGCAACCAATATTTATTTGTCCAATTAGATAATAGTAAAGAACCGTTTCTTACTATCATAATATAATTTTCATGTTTAGCTGCACCGAAAGATTATCAAAATTAATCACTTCTGTTCATTTACACGTTATAGCTGAACAATTAATTTGTTTGATAAAAAGTTTTAATTTTTCAACATTGCCAGCTTTTCAAACAGTTTTACAATTTAATTGACAAGTTAAAAGATACAGCTGTCCTTTGAAATATTATCATATAATGATCATTTGCCGGATGCGGCTTATCATTATAAACAGATATAACAGAAATAGACTCAAAAGAAACAAACTTTTATTTGAAATTTGCGCGTTTACTGCTGTAGCAAGAAATAGCAATGCAAACATCTGAAATGATGTAAATATAAGTTTTCTCAATGCTATTTTCATACAACAGTAACATACGAAAAGGTAAGAAGGGAGACATTAATAAATTTCAAAAGCGCAAATGTCCTTGCTAAAGGTTAATTTCGGGTAACATACCAATAAGAAGAGATGTGCCTTCGCCATCGTTGATGGCTTCTTTCTTCCACTGAATTCCACTTTTTTCTATAGTTATCCTCCAAAAGAAAGAAATAATGCAAAGTTGAAATTCACACTATTTGTTCAACCTCCTATTCACCCTTACCTTAATGAATAAATCATAATTAATAATTGAATTGTTTCAAAGAAATAATTCGATATTTACGATTACTGTTTAACATATAATGGAAGAAAGAAATTATAACAATACACTTACTTATATCTGTCATTTGTTTTATTTAAAATAACTATTCAAATTAAATTACTATTCAAAATTACTACTCAAAATTACTATTCAAAGGAAATATTTATATTTATATTCTTGATTTTTACTTAATATTTTACGAAGATACTTAATACTTAATATTTTACAAATAAAAAATATCAAAATCAAAGAGCAAATTTTATTACAATCTATTTTTATTTGAAATAAAAATAATTAACTAAAAGATATTTCATAGAAAATAATCTCATAAAAATTATAATTTCTCTTTCTCTCTCTCTCTCAAATTATAATTTCTCTTTCTCTTTCTCTCTCTCTCAAAAGAAAAATTCTCTCTTTGTGATAGAAATGAACAAAAAAAAGTGAAAAAATTAAAGTTAAAAAATAGGCGCAACAAAAAATAGCAATAAATAACTCTACGAATGATCGTTGAAAAAAAAATATCCAATAGTATCCAACAGTATCCAATGATATCCAATGATATCCAATAGATGATATAATGAAGAATAATTGTGGTCATTAAGAAAAACAAAAAAAAAACACACATTCTTTTTACTAATTTATTAATTAATTTAGGAAAAAAATTTTTCCTTCACTTTTAATAAATCTATTAGAATTGAGAAATTTATTTAATGTTGAAATAAATGCGGAATATAATTGATAAGATAACAATGAGAAATTTAGTAATAATAATCATTAATAAATCAACATGAGCAATTTGATAGGAAACAAAAGAGAAATGATAGGTGATAATTTTGTTGAAAAGAAAATGTGTCCTTCAGGGCATAATATGTTTTCAACAATTGTGAAGAAATGATAAAATATATGAAAGTGAAATATTTTTAATCGTTATATTCACTGAATTTAAATAATAAATTATACGTTTCATCTTCATTTATTTTTAAGAAAATCCATTTTCGATCTATACTTCCGTTTGCTAGCTGTCACTAATTTGATCGTTTATAATTCTTCACAATTCATTTTTAGGATATCATTTTCATATTAAATGATAAATGATAGTTTATCGTATATATTATAAAGAAAAATTAAGTTAACGTTTTAATTTTTGCAAGGTCAACAAATTTTTCCCATCCTTAATCATCTTTTATTTACTAGTTTTTTAATAATATATTTATTGTTTAACTTTTTATTTTATAGTATATATATTGATCTTCAAAACTACCATCGTTATTGTTATAAATTTTTATACATAACAAAGAATTAACCTTTTTTTGATTAAAATTTACTTATTAATTTGTACAATTTCAACAATTTCAACAATTTTTCTCAATAAATAAAAAGAGAAATTTAAAAATTACATAAAAGTAAACATTACTTTTGTTGTCAATTATGAAAATTTCAACTTACCTTAATATTTTCCTATTTCACTAATCCGAAATAAATATTACTGTTTGATTTTTCCTGCAAAATATCTATGCTAAGTGATATAACGATCCGTTTTATCACTCATATGAAATCACTACCTAATATTGAATTCAAGAAAGTATAAGAAATTTGCAAATAAATTATCACACATACATACACACAATCATTATGAATAATCGCATAGAATTAAATTACAAATCGATTTATAAAATTAACAATTTTAATTTCAAAATAAAATTATTTCATTTTTTGTTTCAGAAGGAATAAATGAAATATGTTTGATATTGCAAAATGAATAAATATTCTCTTTCAAAGCAATTATTGACAAATAATAATTAATAATAAAACAAAAAATTGATACATACGTCTAATGATTAGAAGTACTTTGCAGCCTAACGCATAATCGCTCTAAAAAATTCATTCGAAATTTATTCTCAGATATTCTTCTTACAGTGAAGAAAAGAAAATCAGGACTAATTTCTATTTTAATTTCCAGTTTTCCTTAATTTTTAGTTTGATCTAATTTTCTAATTTTACTGATTCAGTAAATTCATTGAAAGTTTATTGTTTCTAAATTTGCGTAACAATTTAAAATAATTAAATTAAATTTTTGAGCCTACATTTTTTAACCCTTAACACCCATCAAGCTTAATTGGATCTAAAAAGTATGAAAATTTCAAGTTAATTAATTAATTAATATATTTAAAAGTTTTTTTGAAAAATATTATTTTTGTAGAGAAAAGAAATGAAGTGTTTATTGGATAGTGATAATTTTTCATTCAAAAAGTATTTTGGATTTTTGATTTTATTTCATTTGCTTCATTAACTTCCAAGCCACATTAAACATTCAGCCTTCCTGAAGGCTGAATGTTCATCCGAGAAGCTGATAAAAGTGACAGAGAGATTCTTCTGTTCGTATTACTTTTCCTGCAAAAATTTTATCACCGTCTCATACATTTATCTCATTACTATATTTGTAATATAAATGATAACTTGAAGAAAGATTTCGATTTAATTTACCAATTACTAATTTCTAATTCTAACTTTCCGTAACTTTTGATCTTCAGACTGAATGATTCTTAAATTGATATTTGAACAAAATTTGACCAGAGAGAGTTTGTAATTACTCTGTAGAAGAAAAAGATAAAACAGGAATAAATTTGATATACAGCTATTATTTGATTTCATAATAGGCACTAATTGAATTAATCATCGTATTAATTAATCATTATTTTAATCAATTTAATTAGTATATCAAATACTAATATTTCTTACATATTTTTTAATACTTAATACTTCTTAAATACTTCTTAAAATAAATTAAATTGAGAAACTTAATCATTTGGCTCAATTCATTTATTTCTTAACTCTAAGAAATGAAAATTACCTCCACTAAGCTAAAATCATACAACTAACTATTCGGATGGATGACAAATTAAGATCCTATTCTAATTAATTAAGATCCACTCCTAAAAATTTCAAATTAGTAAAAAATATATTTTCTATTAAAGTTTTGATTAGAAACTTTAGCTTAGAGATTATCAGGAATGAATATTTGTAAAATTTGTTGCATATGTAGAAGAATATTCTGTGAAGAAGTATTTTAAAGAAGAATAAGTTAATCAATTTCACAAAGTTACCTTTCGTTATCAATAAAAAAGGATCTATTTGATGGTGCTAAATTATTCTGCTTATAAAAATGTGATAATATTTTCTTTTTCTTTCAAAGAACTACATTTTTTCGAAAACTTCAAATGAATCACTGATAAATTTAATATCATTTGCAGCACAACGTTTCGATGCAAGAATAAAATGATGGAAAATTTTTCAGGAAATGATAAATGATGGCCATTTTACATGAACAAAGAGATGTAATAACACGTATCAGATAATCTTTCCGGCAAATATCCTTGTGATCATAAGAGTATGTTGCTTACTGTGGCGTATAATAATTGGTCAACATCTTCAACCGGTTTATTTTCTCTCTTATTTTAATCATTCATTTGAAAGTGATTCTTCTCTCCCATTTCCTCTACATTTAAATCTTTCTGCGTATTTCATCGCTTTTGAAAAGATTTCAATAATCCTGTTTCTATTATTATTATAATTCTTATGATTAATTGGAAAAATTGCTATCATCATTAACATCATTAGTAATTATTATCTGTATTAATAAAAATAATACTATACATTATCAATCTAATTAACCTATTGTTAATACATTATTTAACAAAAAAAAAGCCTAGCCAAGAATGGGAATAAATAAATAATGTAGCTTGGTGTAATTTACTGTTGTTGTTGTTGTTATTGTTGTTACTACTACTGATACAATTAGTTTAAGTATCAATATACTTTTTTAGGTAATGAATTATTTCTTTAACAAAAATGAATTACAACAACACCTGTTCTTTCTAATCAAATAAACAAAAGAAAAGATATTATTTAATTGTGATAAATTGCTATTAAATAAAACTTAGAAATATAATTGAAGAAAAATGTCATACAATTTGAGAAATAAATAAATTGAATAAAAAGATGAAGAAGTGTTGTATGAATGAAAGATAAATAACTAAAATTTTGTGTAGATATTGAGAGATATCTGATGAGCAAACTAATCCTCCTTTGTTGTATTTAAGGTTTATTTCTGGTTTACATAAGGAGTAAAACTAAATGATGAAAATATGGTAGTGCATGAACAACGTTGATGGACATCGTGATATGTTGTTATCCATTATGGGTGGTGCTGACCCATTCTTAAGAACTGTTCCGAAAAAGTAGATTCCCTTCAAATAGATAGAAATAGAGCAATGCAATTATCATCATATCTTTTTTCTTTCTCTTTCTCTCTCTCTCTCTCTCTCTCTCTCATTGCATCGGTTTTTTTTCCCTTTTTTGAGTTTATAAATATAATTGTTGAAATTCTAACATTATTTTTGTTATAACAAGATTATTCATTTCAAAATAATTTTGATATAACAAGATTATCCATTTCAAAATAATTTAATTTTTGAAGATTCACTCTTTTCTTTCTTCATTTTTAGTCATATCAATTTATTCTATTCTATTCTAACATACTCAATCAAATTGTTATTCAATTTAAATTTCAACAAAATATCTTTTATTTCTGAGCAAGCGATCGAATTAATAAAAAAAGGAGAAGATTCAAGAGTGATAGAAATTCAATGATAGGAAAAACTCAATCAATGAAACTAACTCATTGAATTACTGCATTGAAATGATAAAAATTCATCTTTAACAGGATCAGGAATGGAAGAATTCCATATCATAGACAGGTTTTCTCTCTTCAAATTACATTCATGTAGAGAATTTATCAGGAGTTCATCTCCGAAAACATAGTTTTGCAAATTATTAAATAATGAAGGAACTGCAATTTAACTCTACATTACTTCACAGTTACAATAATATATACAGTATATAAGTGCTTTTACTGATATGACTGAACTTTTACTGATAAAATTGAATGAATGCACATACAGTATACGATGTGATGGCTATTCATTCATTCATTTCAATGAATATATGGCATAAAATGATTTCTACAAATTACAATGTAATCTCTCATTGCAACATTGTGGTACAAACAAATGCACATGTATCATTTGTATTTAAAAAGTTGTTATAATTTAAGGATTGATTTCGTCATAGAATTGATAAATTATGAAGTTTATTTTATGTGTTAAGCGGAAGAAGTAAATTTAAAAGGGTGAACAAAGTTGAAGAAATGATTGTTTCATACAAAAATTAATTTAAAAGGGTGAACAAAGGGAGGTCAAAGGTTGAAGAAATACGAGTAACGAATTTAAAAGAGGACATGTCACTTTTAGCATTTCAAGGTCGAATACTTCTCAAATTAAGACATATCGGGAAAATGTCGTAAATTGAATCATGATTATCAAATTGTTTCTACCTTACTTCACTCATTTAATGCGCACAATTGATTCCTTCTATGTTGATGATTATTTTTCAAGATATTATTGGCCTTCTAGTGTTTGTTCTTTGAAGTAAACAGTATTTATCTTCTCAGGCCTAAATTACTGCCTCTTAATGCTAATTATATTCAAGTATACTTATGGTAAAACAGTCTGCTTAGGCCTTTCAATAACTGAGCAATTTTGTTAGGATAAGCGATTGAGATTGGAATCTTTCTTTCTCCTTTCCCACTTATCACCTAATCCGTTAGATAGTACACGTCATCCTGTTTACAATTTCAGGATTCCTCTTCTTGGAATCAACAAATTATAAGCGTATTTCATATGTAATTTATAGCAATTATTTAATTTTATCAACACGACATTATAAATAACTAAAGATGAGCACATGATGCAACAGAAACACTAAAGGAAAAGAACAGTAAATAATTCACGTACAGCAAATAAGGCACTTCTATAAACAAACCGGATAGTTTCTAGCAATTATTATTTATTTTCCGGAAAATCCAGAAATTTTAGAGCACAATATGTATGATAGATACTCAAGCTAGTCATTTCAGTATGAATGTTAATTATCGTAGTAGTAATACAGCGTCACTGTACAAACAACGATTAATACATTCATCAAAATATCTCCACATTATTGGGAATTGAATTTTTTCAGAATACTGCGAAATGCAGAACGCCAATAATAAAAGCATAAAATTCATTTTATTCTTGGATAGCTTTATTCTAAAATTCATTCCCTCAACAAATAAGAGACTGAAATGAAAAGATTTCGAATTGGAAATATTTTGTTGTATGGAAATAATTGTCATGCAAAAACGACAATCAAACTTTCACCGGTCAATTCTCGTAGGTGCATGAGTACCGAAAAAAAACCACAGATATCGGAAAAAAACGATTCAATCTCCGTAACGAAAGACATTACGAACAACGATAGTTACAACGTACAAATTGAAAAATGAAACGAGAGAGGACAAGATTTGAAAAAGGGAAAAAATGACAAATATACAGGGTGATACGGAGGGGCGGGTAGGTGAATGAAAAGTGAATATCACAGTAACCGAATAAAGGATTACACATCGGTGACCTCATCATTGTTGCTTACAAGCATCATTTTATCGTTTCCTTCTTTTAGCGTTCTCCTAGGCGGTAATGGTACACTTGGCCTTAGATCTGAATGAGGTGCTGAAAGAAACGATAAATTAACGTAAAAATAAAAGCAAATAAACTTGCTCTATTTTCATCATTAGGTGAAATTTTCTAGTTTAACTGCAAATGAAAGAGAGTAAAGTATTTATGATTATTTAGAATTGTAAAAGAAAACTATTACCAATAACAGAAGTCGAAAGTTCAGGTTTCATATCGATGGAAGCAAAAGAATGCGCCCGCGATGCACCATTGCCATTTGATGTTTCAGTAAGTGATGATGCTATAATGGAAGAGGATCGTATCGAATGAGCATCGGATGATTCTTCCATTTCGTATACCGGATTTGAAAATGTTGTTGCTGAAGCTACCGAACTTGCTTGTAATTGTACCATACCATATTCCACTGATGTTGCATCACTCTATAACAATAAAATGAGTGGATGGATGCATCGGTATCAAACAGAAAAATAAGAATCTAAACTTACTGGTTTAGGATCAAGTACCGGATTGCTAAATGAGATAACATTCCCGTGAAATGAAACAGCTCCATCAGCAGCTTCATTTTTTTTGAAGAGTAATAGGCGCTTCCTATAAAGGTTCGTTCCAACCAAAGCCATTAGCGCAACACAGGCTAGCAAAGAAACGAAGAGCAATGCCGCCAATAAAGCATTCGAACCAAATCGACCAATTAACTGAATTAAAAATTGAATAAATTATTTTTTTTTGCTTGTCATAATATTTCGTTTAATTAAATTTAAAATTAATCCATTCCTTAGCAAATTTTCTCTAAAACATTATTAATGTGTTGTTGTAATGTAAATGAAGGAAAGAAATTTTTTAATCTCGCAAATGTTGCCATTTCATTAGTCATTAATCATTATTAGAGTTGCACATTACACTTAATATCAGTGGTAAAATTTGAAAACTGTTAAGAACACGTAATCATCGTTCACACTACATTGTCCATTTTTTAAAAACTATTGCCAATTGTTTTATTCGTCAAATTATATAGCCGATCAGTAAACTTCTCAATTACTACGTTTTTTTCCCCCCCGGAAGCATAAAAATAGACAAACCTGTCGGGATACAGTAGAACCTTTCTGACATTTCTCTCCTTCAAAATCACCACAATCACAATAACCATCTAATTGACATATACCACCATTTTGACATTCACATTGTTTTGGAATTGGTAACTCGTCCACTCTGGTACCAGAACATGAACCATCCTAAAATGGATATTTATATATTGCTAGTATAATTTTAATGAATAAATCGATGAACAAATTTAAGAGAATATAGGCAAAAAAAACCGATTGTTGAATGAATAATTAAATTATGATTAAAACAATTGTTCAAGAATCAATCAATATCTCTACTCTCCATTATATCACAATGATAGGAAGTAACAGTTGAAAAGTAAAGTGTTTAAATTTCAAAAATTAAATCAAAATGTATGAGAAGTTTATAATTTGATATTTTAAGAAATTCATGATAAAACATAATTATTTCGAAAAAAAACATTTTTCTTCCCACAAATATCACTTCTAAAAATACCAATATCATTTACTTAAACTACTCTTTCATCCTTTCCTAAATGAAGTGAAAACATTTATATTTCATTCAAGATGACAGTTTTGATATTAATCTAAAATCTATTCATTTAACCGTCGTCTTCACATTTCAAAAATATAACAACAACAACAACACAAACATCATCAGATTCTCATAAGATGTCGATGTTCACTCTATTAATAATAAAATGAAAAGAACGAATATTACGCTAAATAAATAAAATTCGATGAGGTACTATGTAAATCTTCGCGTAAATATTTTCTTCTTTATGTATCAGAAACTTCATCTATCTTAAATTAATAATGTTCATGTAAAGGATCAAAAATTAGCCAAATCTAGTTTCCACAACTCTATTTATATTTTCATTGCTGACCTATGACCTTTCTTCGAAGCATAGCATTACTTATGCACTCAATTATTTGTGAAGTAAAAAGCAGAATTTCAAAAATCAAATTTTGCTTGCCTACAGTTTATCGAAAAATATCTTTTGCTTCTTTATAGAATATATATTTCAACTAACATCAAGTTGTGGTGATTCATCAGGACATAAGCATCCGTAAGTATTTTGAGGTAATTCAGCACACAAATGACTGCATGAAGCTTGCGAGCATGCTGATACACTACGTGACGTGTCACGTGCGAAACGCTGATGTATACGAATATTGTGTGCATTTCGAATACTGGAAGCTAATACACTGATACGACCACGACCAAATTTATCCTGCAATTTACATTGGTTTATCTTCATGATCCATTTTCATTGCCATTTTTGATATCAAGTGGATTTCAAAATACAACAAACGCATTCAAAGGACATCAAATACTACCTGTACAAATAAATCTTCGCTTTCTTTGGAAGCCCAATAGAGATTGTTCTCGAACACATCGATTGTCCACGGCATCCGATTATCCACTATAACTGTTGTTCGTTTTGAACCTATAAATTTAATCGTAAATATTTATATATTATTGAGTAATAGGTCCTGAACACATATTAGCAGAATATTAAAGGACCAATGTAATTAAATAAAGACATCTAGCAAATCAATCGTTTCTAATATCAACAGTTGAACAGTATAAAATAATTAACCATCCGGTAAAACTGATTCCACTTTGCGGTACTTCGGATCAGCCCAATATATTCGATTCTCTTTACCCTCGTCAACAGCCAATGAAGTTGGCGAATAAATGAGGTCTTTTACAATAACCTAGAAAGATACATCGATTAAATTTATGCAATTTGCTTACTTTTCGTATCATTACAAAAGTTAAGATTATTACATTCATTTACTTAAAGATAAGTATTATTTCAATTTGAAGCTATACATCGCGATGTTTTCCATCCATATCAGCGCATTCAATTTTTGCATTAAATCCAGCATCCGCAAAACATATTCGTCCAATTTGTGGCAATGTAATAATAGCAGTTGGAATATGAAGTCGTCCCTTAATTACAGTTCGCAAATAACGACCATCCGATTTTGCCATATAAATTGTACCGTCCCCACTACCTTTATTTTCATTTTCCTCCGCATCTCTTTTCTTCCTTGCTATAAATCCTGCAGTTTCCTCATTTGATACTGTTGTGAAATATATATTCCTGCAATATTTCGACAAATTATATAATTCATTTTGAAAATTTCAAATTTCTTAAATTTTTTAACACATATAATAAGTTGTGCTATTTATGTTGAAGGAAATAATTTTTCATAAAATAAAATGATTAAAATGCAAACAACTGCCTATAATAATTATAATGACAAACTTACCCTGTAAGATAATCAATGGAAAGTGCGTTTGGTGAAGAGTTCAAATCTTTGAAATCAATATAAAGTTCCTGCCCAGCATGTGATTGATTTCCTAAATTAATGAACTATTAAGAAATAAATAATATTTTAGATTTCCTTACCATATTATCTTTAAAATGGAACATTGAAACTTACAAACAAAAAACAAAATGCAAAACAAGAAAACATCAAATAATCACTAACAAAATATTACTTAATTTGAAGTTAATACCTTTAGGTAATGCGGATCGATAAATTTTACGTTGCTGACCATCAATCCAGAACATTAATTCCTTACGTGGATCGAAATCTAATGCAATAATATTATTTTGCTCAAGTGTACCAACTGCATGACGATTTGTTTCACCTGCATGAGCAAGATTTAATTGTATCACTTCACCATCTGCAGCTACCATTATTAGCGGTGGCTCACCCTGTAAAATTTCAAATTCCATTTCAATGCTTTTAAATGTTAATCATTCAATCATCAATTATCAATTAGTTTCTTAACAAGAAGAAAACGTAATAAAGATATTAAACCTTGGCACGACAATCTTTGCCAGTCATTGCTCCTACAACCACATTATTTTCGAAGTCCTCAAGACAGTGGCAAAGATATGATCCTTTGGTATTCAGACAGCTCTAAAAATAAAGATATATATATGTATATGTCATCCACTGCAATTATTTTGATAAATTCAAAAACAACCATTACCTGAGTGCAAGTATTATTTCCTGCACATTCATTAATATCAATGCAATCATAAGGATCATCTGGATTTGGTTGAAATCCATCTCGACAATGACAGTAATAACCATTTTTGACATCTGTACACAAATGTTTACAATTCCCATTTTCATTGTTTGTTGAACATGTAATTCCTTTTCTTTTCGCTGCAATAATCTCCAATTAAAAATTAATATCTAATAGAAAAATCAAATCTTGTAATCAATAATTAAATTTCAACAATTTTAGTTATACACAATACTCCTGCTAGGTGTCTAAATATACAGAGAGTTGTCAAAATAAAAATTATTTCGGTTAGAAATAAACATCTATTAATATTTGAAATATAAAAAAGTTGAAAGAAGCATTGCAATAGAAAGATCATTTATAATTATCATCAATGATTCATTTTAATTGAATTTTCTTCAATCAAAAGTTGCCTAAATTATGCTTTACATATTATTTTAAATGCATCAATCAATTTTGCATTTACCACATCCAATTTCATCGCTTGCATCGCCGCAATCATCATTGTGATCGCAAGCCAATGATGCATTGATGCATTTACCATTGGTACATTTGAACTGATTGGTAGTGCAATCGCCATATTCAGAAAATGAGCTGCACATGGACAAATGCTCATCTGAATGGTCAAATGGTCCACAATCATTGATGCCATTACATAACTGCAATAGAAGCAAAAAATAAGAATATATCACTGCCAAAAAAATGCCACACAAACGAAGAAGAAATAGTTAGTAACCTGCAAAATGTTGAGACAAAGTCTGGAATGAGCGCAACGAAAACGAAGTGGCGGATCACATAATGTATTCTTGCAGTGCTCATTTGTTTCATCAGAATTATCACCACAGTCGTTATCACCATCGCAAATGAATTTACGTGGGATGCACACTGAATTACTGCATTCAAATTCAAATGGACTACATTCACGGCGATTCGGCTAAAATAAATTCAGCCAAAGATAAGCATCAAATGATTAAAGGAATGATAATTTCTGCGCTTTTATATGGAATGCAAAGAGAATAAAAGTATACAGCATTCTTAATTAGCTTACATAATTTTCGCAATGAGATTCGTCAGAAGCATTCGGACAATCACGCCGACGATCACACCAACGACGCTCAGGTATACAAGTACCATCGTCACATTTCATATATCCTGCATTACACTCACGTAATTTGCACTGTGACTCATCAATACCATCAGAACACTGTGCAGTACCATCGCAAACCTATAATGATTTCTGTGATCGTGCTCCGAAAAATATTCAACTGGAATTTTTCGCTAATGGATAATTTTGAAAAACATTCCACAACCTATATGCTTATTTCATCTTTCTTTATAAATCATTTCTTCCGTGTTAAATTGAAAAGTAGAATAAAATTATGGAATTTTTACTTTATTTCCAGGAATACAGCGACCATCAGTGCACCGAAATTCAGATTCTGAACATGGTCTCGATGTGCCTCCACATGACGGATCTGTTTCATCGGAATCATCACCACAGTCGTTTTCACTATCACACATCCATCTTCTGACAAAAAGATTGCACATTACGACATTAAAAAACATAAAGGACCGGTTTTACTTGATGTTTCATTCAACGCTATTCACCACAAATAATAAAATTAACATGATGATGCTAACTTCGGAATACATTTTCCTGATGTAGCACATCGAAATTCACCAACATCATCACAAGCCGGGCATCGATCAATCATTTCATCTGAATTATCACGACAATCATCTTGTCCATTACAGAATGCCCAATTTGGTATGCATCTGAAAACGGTACGATATTCAAACACATTTCCCGTTATCATTATCAAATTTTCTGCTATTTATAGTGAATCTCAAATGCATCACAAAAATGAGCAGTGAAAATCAATTGAATCATTTCAAAGAATTAATTAAACTTTAACCTATGTAATCTTTAATATAAGAGTGATTTAAAAAAATACTGAATTCATATTTAAGTTTTTTCATGTTAATTTCTTTGGGAATAAATTGAGAAGGAACCTATATGAAGTGGAACATCGAGTCCATCCTTTGCGACATTCGGTATTTACGCATTCTGGTGGCTCATCTGAATTATCACCGCAATCATCATCATTATCACACTTCCACATCTTCGGTATACACTTGTGATTAGAGCAACGAAATTCTTCCGCAGTACAGTTTCGATCCTTGTTTTCTTGAAATAGCGAATCAAAATCAGAAATGGAAAGAGGGGCATATCAATGGTAAGCATCATTGTTGCACATACTAAAAGCTGATAGAAAATCTTCAACAATAAGCATCAACTGTGTGACCTTGTGACATCAACTCTCTTTGAAAGAATAGTATAATAAGGGACAAAATTGTACATGATTGTATAAGATTCAGTAATCCTATGGGTTTCTATAGCTTTTATACTAATAATCAAGAAATGAGTAAAATGAACGAACTGCATATGACATCTGTTTCATCGGATAGATCGCCACAATCATCGTCTCCATCACAAATGAATCGCTTCGGGATGCACTTTCCGGTTGCTGTACATTTGAACATCCATGGATTGCATGGCTTGTCACATTCTACCTAAATGATTAAGAAAGATTAAAAATTCAAATTAGAAAGTAATTTAATAAAAAATAAGTTCTTTGTTTGGAAATGAAAGGATTTAAAAAATGAGCATTATTCGATTGTTCATTTTTTAAGATACCTAGCATTTTTGATAGGAAATTATTTTAAATAAGAGTAAAGAGAAAAGGAAACAAAAAAGGCAACTGTGCGACTTTTCGTAATCTACATGCTTTTTGGGAGGATAGAATAATAAAGGTCAAAAATGGCAAATACCTCATCAGAACCATCACCACAATCATCGTTACCGTCGCAAAGTTGGAATGGTCGTGTGCAGTTGTGATTGTTACATTGGAATTCTCCAACAGCACAAATTCTCGGTCCTAAAAAATGATAGGAAACTAATTTAAAAATAAAATCATTTGCGAAAATGTAAGGATGAGAATGAAAGTTGATTTCCAAAAAAAGATATATCATAGAAAACAGCTACCGCAAATATCTTTTCCCGGTTCATCGCTACCATCACCACAATCCGGCTCTCCGTCACAGTACCACAGCTTTGGAATACATTTAGCGTCATCGCCGCCACATGCAAACTGTCGATCAGTGCATTGAGGTTCACAAGTTTTATTATCAGTAAGAAGAAGAAACTGATCAGGACAAGAACAAGTGAAACCAGGATCATGCGCTGATAACAAACATAAATGAGAACATCCACCGTTATCATCACCACATGGATTCTTATATTCCGGTTGTCGGAATGGATGAATAACCTGAAGCAAAATTATGGCAAAGTAAAATTAAATCCAAAATTGAAAAGGATGCTTGCTAATTATTAAAAAAGAAATATTTTAATTTGCATGATCTGAAGAAATAAGAATTTAAAATTAACAGAAGACTAATGACCCTAATGTCATTTGGCAATTGTGTCGTTATTTTCAGTACTGTTTCATTCAGCCCAGTCCACTTATCTGCTCTAATAATTTCTCGTAAGTTCCAGTCTGACCAAAACAAATAATCATCGAATACGGTTATCGATGAGACGTGGGATGTGCGCTTTGCTGGAATATGATGTCTGGCACCGCCATTCAAATTCATAAAGCCAATTTCATTTAAGTGCGCATCCGCCCAGAATAGTCTATAAAAAATCAGGAAAGAATGATGAGTGGTAAATGAACAAATGAAAAAGACTTAAAAAAACCGCAAGACAGTTGCGCTCAAAATGATTATAATTCCATTGAAACAACGATATCATATCACTTATCTCGCTTTAATCATACATTGCGGATTGATATTACTGCCATCACAAACTTGATTTTGTTTGGACTTTTACACACGCATATATATAGGTAATATGTTACTTACTTATCAGAAAAGTAATCAATAGCAAGAGCATTTGGCCAGCCAAGATCATTTTCAGCAAGTTTTTCAATTGGATCAGCTAATTGTGGAGACCCATCCATTGATACTCGACCAATATATGCTTGCAAACTCCATTCCGTAAAATATAGATAGCCTTTTTCTGGATGCACTACTATTGCCTGAAAAATTGAATTAGTAAATTCCTGAAAAATTATTGTATGAAAAATTGAATTAGTAAATTTATTGCATGGATAAGCAAAGATTTAAAATAAATGTAAAAAGTAAACAAATAAACCTTTGGTTGAACGATACGATCACGAATAAGTGTTCTGCAATATCGGCCATTCAATTCACAGACGCGTAACGAACGTTCCTGTCGATTCAACATGTACAATTTGCGCCCAACCCAGTCAATTGCAATGCCTGCAGTAGGAAAATGAAATTCATATTTCCTCTGTCAATAATGCCATAAATAGCTATATTTAGATAATGAAACAATTTGTGAAAGAAATTCAAGAAGACAGAATCATTCCATCATAATACAATCCCTTTATCGAGTGATTTACAAAATTTCACTTTCATTTTAATGCATATGTAAAGTAATCGTTCAATTTCAAAGATTCAAAGATCAAATGAACATTTCACTCTTTCTAATCTTCTCTGTAATCCTTTCAAGAATATCAAAATATAAACCAAGCTAACCTTCAGTACCAAAAATATTATGTTTCAGTACTACTTCATAGGAGTCAATTGGTTGATCTAACTCTTCCATACCAACTCTATAGAGTCTAAGTTTACCGGAATCCACAAGATAGACCTAAAATATAGTAAAGTAATTGGAAATAAATAAACAAAAAAATATTAATCAGGAAATCCTTATGGATGAATGATAGAAGCTGCTAAGAAGATGATTAAAAGATAATTAAAAATATTAAATATTAGAAATTGAATGATCGAATAATTTAATCCGTATGTTCCCAATGAAAAAGAAAAATTGCATAAGAAATAGTTTATTGAATTCTCACTTTTCTTTCTTTCATGTCAATATCCATCGATATAACATTTTCAAATCCTCGAGCTACTAATTCATAATTTACTCCATCCACAGTAAGTTTCCGTATATAATGCTTATTTGCAAATAGCAACCACGGTTCCGGATCCTGAAAAAAAATGAATTTATTTCAATAAAATTTCCTCTCAAACTAACAACTATTTCTTTCTTGTTTTTTTCAAATGAAAAAAAGAAATTTTAAAAACATACCATATTAACTCGTTTACATGTACGATCATCATTTAATATAGAATATCCATCAATGCACCAGCATTTATAAGTACCAATTTTATTTTCACATTTTTGACTACAACGACCAAGGCCAGCTATAGATCAGATAGTATATTAGAACAGAAGGAAACATTATCTTCATTCAGTTACTTGTTGGAATGAAATGGGAAAATATGGAATTTACCTTGCTAATTAGTCATACGATATATTCAATCATTCAATCATCATTTAAACTAATGAACACATTAGCTGTCAAATAAAAAGAGACAGACAAAATTTCGAAACAATTTTGACTTAACTTTTGCAGAATGTTGTGTTTGCCGTTGTCTACCGTAACAGAAAAATATAATATCACAGAATAAAAAAATGAATGAACACTTAGTATCATTCAAAATTTATATAATTAAATGTTAAATAGTAGTTGAATGTTGAGAAAATGATGGAATAATAAATTATTACTTTCACATTCATCAATATCATGGCATGATTTCTTATCATCTTCATCAATAGCAAATCCTTCGAAACAATCACAACGATAATCGATTGGTAAATCAACACATTTTTGTTCGCACAATGGCTTTTCGGCAACGCTACATTCATTAATAGCTATAAAATTAAAAATTTTAATAATAAGTCAATAATTTAATGAATCAATCTTTTTTATCTGATAACAATTTTTAGAATCAAGAATAGCTTACAGCATTTTGATGATTCATCGGATCTATCCGAACAGTCATAAACTCGATCGCATACTTTCGTTGCAGCGATACATTCTCCGCTATTACAACGGAACTCTTCCGCAGTACAAACCGTTAGCGCTGTAGCATTTTTATCAGCACATTCCTAAAAAAATGTTTTTTACAATAATTCTGCCTGAACGGATTTAGTTCAAATCAAAACCAATTAAATCGTTGAATTATAACTGACAAATATCTGCAAGCATATTGTATGTTTTATTACCTTCTCATCGCTACCATCCTCGCAATCATCATTTCCATCACATCTCCATGAAGCAGGGATGCATTTCTTATTTTCGCACTGCCAAAAATCAGGTTGACATTGTAAGTAAGCTAAAATGGAATAATTTAAAGCATTAAGTCCGATGCATAAAAAGAATTCGTAAAAAGAATTCGATACATAAAAAAATCCGATACATAAAGAGTAATAAAAATCCGATACATAAAAAGAATTGTAACAACACTTACTACAATTGGCATGCTCATCGGAACCATCCAGGCAATCGTTATCACCATCACATTCCCATGAAGCATGGATACAATGTTTGTTCGCACACCTGATATATATAAATCTTCTTATAAATCTTCTATACCAAAAATTTATTAAAATAGCAAATTATCATTAATCAAAACTCAACATATTGTTTTCAACAATTTTCAATAAACTGAAATAAACCTAAATTCGCCCTTATTACACTCTTTCTTTTCCACTCCGCATAATTCCTTGCTTTCATCTTCTCCATTTGCGCAAGTGACATCACCGTCGCAAAGCCATGCTTTTGGTATACATTCATATTTTGGTTGAGTAAGATGAGCATTTGATTTGCAATGAAATTCTTGATCACTACATGTACGATTCCCTAAATGAAATTGACACTTGCTAATTAATATTCACTAAATTTTCTTATCACATTCTACTGTCATTCATAATCAAACGTACCACAGTTATGAATCATACTTTCATCGCTTGCATCACCACAATCATCTTCGCCATCACAAATAAATGCTCGACTGATGCATTTCCCATTATCGCACTAAAAAATAAACCAAAAAAACGAATAACAAATTTCATTGGAAATGTAATGAACAATATTGAATCCTCCTGAACGAATTTATACATACCTGGAATAAATATTCTCCTAAGCAAATACGCCTTCCAGCAGAATCTGTACAATTCGTATGATTTTCATCCCAAGCGCCTTCACCGCAATCATTATCACCATCACATTGCCAAGTTTCTGGTATACATCGACCGCTCGGACAACGAACACTGCAATTTGCATTTATATTAAATTTTTTTCGTATCAATGAAATTCCTTGAAGACTAAGAAATAAATGACCGTATCATTGTATCAACCTGTTATTTATACATTTTAATATTATAAACTGAGAAAGAAGGCTATCGTATCATAAAATTTAAACTAAATGCTAAAAAAAGTTGAGAAATGTAAATCAAATTGAAAAGCAAAAATATTATAGGCACGATAAAATATCTTATATCCTATCATTATCAATGAGAGAACGTACTAATGTACAGCACATGGTTGATTCATGCAGAAAAGTTTATTTTCATCAGCTTTATCACCACAATCATCATAACCATCACAAAGATCCGCTGGCTGAATACAAATATTCGTATTTGGACAACGTATTCGTACTCCACGACAATCAATAGATAAATCTGGACATGTTTCCTTATTTTCATCAGATACTTTTTCATCATGACAATCATTATGACCATCACATATCTAAATATTTAATAAATTAAGTAATAGTCTCACAGATGAAAATTTTATTTTCTTATTACAAATACTTGGATAAAATAAATTTAGACTAAAGAATGAAATAATTCAAATTTTTTTAAGCAGCTTTTGCATAAGGATAACTATGGAATATATGATGCATATTCTAATAAACAGTACTCAGTTGAAATTTTGCAATGGCCAGAAAAAGAATATAAATGTAAAGGCACTTCAATTCATGCATGCAAACAAAAAGACTATGAGAAAATCTCAAAATATGAATACTTTGGTACTGTTGATACAATGTCCATTAGAGCACTCGAAATGTCCAGCAGGACAAGTGGATGGTGATGTAACAGAACAATCAAGTTCATCTGAATTATCGCCACAATTATCTATGCTATTGCATACAAGTTCAGCATCGATACAACGTCGATTATTACATAGAAAATATCGCTCCGGACATACACGCGTATCTAAATGTTTCTTTTAAATTAAAGATTTATTTAATAGATAAAACAAAGAATTGTAAATAGAAAGCAAAAAATAAAAGATACAATTTTTTTTAAAATTTAAACAGAACATGCAACTTACTACAATACGTTGGATGCTCATCCGAACCATCTGCACAATCTTGTTGACCATTACATGTTGCGATAAGCGCTATACAAGTGCCATCACCACATTGGAAGTTATATGGTGCTTGACAAGTCTTAAGAATTGACGATAAGACATTATATAAGGGTAAATGATATGATCATGATAGGAATAGCATCTGTATATAAAAGGATAATAATATCTTACTGCTATTCATTGTCCCTCATGCACTTATTAAATAAAGTAGAACTTTTTTCATTTAACGAATTAAAAGCCTAATGTCACAATAATTCTATGACTACGATCAAATAAAAAAATTCCTTGGTATTCAATTAATTAGAACAAACTTGAACAACTTCGCGAGGTACACATTGAGTAGCAATATCTTTGCCAGGTTCAGTGACAAGTTCGAAAGAATCATTGCAAGCGCATTGCACCTTTGAAGCTGTCACTTCGCTATCAGATGCAATTACATGACAAAGCTGAAACCAATTCATCTATTTTCTCCTCTATATTGACATATGATCATATATCAAAATGTTGATATCAAAGAATTTTTAAAAAATATGATATAATAATTTAGTTTTAAATGATTCGCTTGCGATTATTGTACTATAGCAAACCTGACATATACAACGTATCTATTCATTACCTGTTCACAGCCACCATTATCCTTTTTGCATAAACCTGATATGTATGTACTGCAGAATTGGTTACGAGTTCGTGTATCCGCTTCCGAAGCAACTACTCGCAATGTAGATGGAATTCGTCGATCTGATACAACATTCTCATAATCGATACCAGAATTCTTAAAATGATAAACGTTATTTATATTTATATTATTAGAGAAATAATATATGAATGTGATATGACAAGCAGATATTACCTTATTCATGCGAAATATACCATTGGCTAGCGGGTCACTCATATATAACCATTGACCCCATATATCAAGACTTTTAGCACGATATCCAACACCGATTGCACGTCGATTCTTGCCATCATAATCTGATGATTCAATATTTAATCTGCAAATAAATTACTGCCATTTTTTTTAAAACCCTTTCTCTTTCATTTCCTTGCTTAGTTTGAAATTCTATTCAATTAAATTTCAGAAGTTAAACTGCTAATTTTCAATAATCGAATAAAACAAGCCTTTTTTTAGTTTAACATAATAAACCATTACTTATTGATATCAGCCCAATAAAGTCGCTGTTCTCGAAAATCAATCGTCAGTGCAGCAGGTAAACTTATACCCTCTTTTAGAATTACACGTCGATCGCCACCTGCCATATTGGCACGTTCGATTCGCGGCTCATATACACCTGTAACAGTAATAACTATATATTTTCAAAAATAAAAACTTCCATTATCCTAAACATATTTTAAAAAAGTGAAAATCAGTAAATTGTGAAATTATTTTATTTTATTATACTAATAATATCAGTAATTAATTACAATAATTAGTTAGAGAAATTATCGCTTTCAATGTAAATTAGAAGAAAATATTGAATGCAATTAATAGTGAGGATTATTTCTTTGTCTATGAAGATGAAAGTTAACAATGATCATTTGATATTATCACATAAAGAATTAATAGAAAATTGGAAAGGAATTAATTTCAGAAAAATTAATAAGAATAAGAAAGAATTAAAGAAAAATGAGTTGAATGAAAATGAAGGAAGCAGAAAATGAAATGTTGAAAATCGTACACATTTCTATATAAATCATTCATTCATTCATTTCCTGTAATTACTTATCAAAAAATTAGAGGAACTAAAATTAAAATAGCTTACCGCCAGTTATTTTATAACCACTATCAGACCAAAAAACAAAACCGGCACATGGATCCAAAGCCAAAGCATATGTCCAATCACCATTTGCAACTGTAGCTGCATGTTCACCTTGTACATCTACCACATATACTTTACCACCCCTATATTACTAAACTTCCAATTGAGAAAAGAAACACATTTCGATAATTTACAAAATATTTGCCAAATGTTTGTTTTTTGAAAATCATTATAATCATTAAAATTCAACACCTATTAAAATGAGCTCATAATGTTTGTTATCGAATCATTCTATTTATGTCATAAATTATCAATAATTTTAATTGGCTGATTTTAGCAAATAAGTATTTTAGTGATTTTATGGCAATTTTTCAGATTTTAAAAACTATTTTGCAATTCCTCAACAATTCAACATTATTTGCATATCGTAATTTAAACCACATTCATCGAAAAAGAAATGGATCGTCAAAAAAGCATGAAAATGATTAGTTATTTATAAACTTGCTTAGAAGAAATATTTTGCACCTGCCAGTAGTGAAATATATTTTGTGCGTTAACCAATCAAGTTTCATATCCGAAATATGTCGCACTGATTCAGTAAGTTTATTTTTTGTTGGACCAAAAATGAGCCTGAAATTAGCAAAGAATTAATAAAATTTAATTTAATTGTCGTATAAATAATAATAATGATGTAAAAGGATCATTTCAAGCGATTGTAGCAGTAATAAACCTTCGTTTAGCTGGTTGATTCATTGCAAACCATGAGATATTTGCGCCATATGAAGATTCAGTAACCATATAGATGCGCCGTAAATTCACATCAACATCAAATGTTTGCAAATTTTCAATTTGTGGTAAAGCTTTCTTTAATGGATTTGGCGCTTTTACATCTGGTTCAATCGGTGTATCCACTATATTGGTACCATCCACAAACATTAGGAATGTTTCAGGCTCTAAAACATTCTCATTATATCATTATAAATGTCGTAATCAGTATCAATACTTTTGCAAATTAAAAAAATGAGACTATCTGATAATAAAGTGGCACATTTATCTCTATAATAATATTCTCTCTAATAATGACGATGCAAAAAAGAAAAAAATTATAAGTAATAAAGAGTTAATTTTTTGTAATACCTTCGCAAGATCTTCCCTTTAGTATGCCACGAGCGCATGCGCACAAAGGACTTTGACTGCCAGGTGAAGCGAAACAAAGTTGAGAGCATGGAGTTTTCCTCAAATTATCCGTTCTTTGACAGGGTGATGATGCTTTTGGCTGCACGGATTCATCAAATACAACAACATTTCCCAGATCAACTAAACCAGCAGCAATTGTCGTTGGTGATAATAACAATGATGTCTGATTCGGGTGGCTAAAAGATAACTCTTGCAAATTCATCACAATATTCTGATCAATTCAATGCAGTATTCTTTTTAGAGGGTAAAGCAATCAAACCGTTCATTCATTTAAATCTTTTTTGGATAGTACATATTTGAAATACTCCAAAATCAAATTGGCCTATTTGATTTAATTTTCTTGTCTTTCCGACTTGAAATTTCTGGTACACTATATAAATTTCCACAATTTCCACAGTGAAATCACATTTCTTTTTTTAGAACGGATTTTAGAATATAATAAAACATTTCGAAAGTTAGTGATGAATAATTCGATTAATCATTAAAAACAATAAAGGATCCGTCAATCGATTGAGAGATAGGTTATAAGATAAATTATTATTAATCTAAATGAAAAGCGACATACTCATACTTCATTTTCATATAACACAACTGATATAATTCTTGATTCTGATATCTAACCTGGTTGCAGAGAAGACTTTTTCTAAGCGATTATCTGTCCAGTACATTGTTTGTCCGAGCAATGAAATGCCCGCTGCAGCGGCAATATCGCTTCGTACTAATTCCACAGGTCCACCATCAGCTCGAATGCGATATATTCCTAATATTACGGCACCATTAATAGCTCTTATCTTTGAGAACGGCTTAATTAATTGAGTGGTACATTATTTGTTGAAAGTTCAGAAGGTTTAACTTTGATTTAAGCATTAATTAATTACAATATGAAGAGCTTTATTTCTAGGTATCAACAATAAATTATATTAAAAAGATAAGCCTGAATTTAACTTACCATCAAGTTTAGCATCGGTCCAGTAGATCATATGACTATTTGGATCAACTATTAAATCCGTCGGTTCAGCAATATTTTCATGAACAACTACCTGTCGATGACTTCCATCTAGGAAAGCTCGCTAAATTTAATTATCTTTATTATTAAAAAAGATAATTTCCTGAATTAGTTATTAAAAGACAACAATAATTTAAATGTCACCTGAATCGAAGGTTTCTGTCCCTGATCAGCCCAGTATAAATATCTACCAACTGGATCTACAGCAAGAGAAGTTGGCGTTTCAGTTTTTGTTGAAAGTAGAATCTTACGATGATTACCATCTAGTTGACAAACTTCAATATGAGTTCGATCCGAATCAACATTGATAAAGTATAAGTTATCTGTAAAACGAATATTCACAACGGTCAAGTTATATGTTGATAATTCGGTCAAACTATATGCTAATACCAAAGTGATTCAATTACTAAAAGTTATCAGTTTTCATTTCAGCAATTCATTACTCGTTTTTTACGCCAATGAATAAACTTTCATGCAATTATTTGAGTTTGAATCAATGACCGATTTCCATTTTCAGTAAAGGAACTTTTCCGATGATCAATGCCAGACTTACAATTAACCCAATCGAGAGCGATACTTCGTATTGTAAATGAGCCAAAGCTATCCCGAACAATATTCTTCACTTCACCATCACCCAAAGTAATCTTATAGATGCCTCGATTAGGACCCGATGTTTCTGCTATGAACAAAGATTTGCTTTCGAATTCAAAATCAACTGCAGTGATTGCGGTACCACCAATTGGTTCCATTGCTACTGATTTCTTTTGTTCCTCTTTCAACCTGATACAGTTATTTTTCATTTTTTTTTTCAAACACATCATCAACTATTTTTTTAAATTAATCACGAATGTTAAAAATCAACATAACTTACGGTATTCCAGTAATTTGTGTCTTTGTCGCTACAATCAAAAATGACTGATCAAAAAGTTTGCAATGAGTGGTATCATCAAGAATATAACCCGTAGCACACATACAATAATGCTGTGAAAATGCTTTCGGAATGCATAAATGTTCACAGTTACCATTATTTGTCCAGCATGGATGAGAATGTCCAGCTGCAAAAAAAATGATATTAGTATTTCACTTGCAAAAAAGAAGATATTAGTATAATATTATAATCAATTGAGAGATACACTCTTACATGTCGTATTTTCTTCTTTTTGTTGCTAATGTTATTTTTTTTAACACAAGAGAGAGAAAACCGTATGTAATTTTTTTGGCTAAAATTTGCATAAATATGTTGCGCCTAAATATTTATTACTTAAAAAGATCATAATATGATCTTACCACTTCGTCCAGAAATAGCTTTAATATTAATCAATTGATCAACATCTTTTTTAAAGTGCTGAAATTGTACTGCTTGATCATCACCGGATAAGACAGCTACTTCAATACTATCGAATGCACTATCTGCATAGAAAAGTCGATTGTTGAAGAATGCAATACCACGTGGTTGCTTTCCAACATCATTTAATATATAGCCACGATCTTGACCATCATATGTTACAAATGAAATCTATAATATTGTAAAAGTAATCTCTTCATACTATCATGATAAGCAATTTATATTAAGTTATTATCATTTCTATTTTTTTTGCATTTGGTTTGCATTTTATGCATTCATCAAAAAAGCATAATATAATAACTTACTCGACCAGCTTTTGATTCTGTGAAGTATAAGCGCTGATTGATTGTATCAAGCGCTAAATGATTTAGTTCAGTGAGATCATTTGAAACAATAACCAATGCATTCTTACCATCCAAATCAGCTCGAGCTACCTCAAATAAATCACAGGTATACAGAGAGAAGTATAACATTTGTTAATATTATAGATAAGTAAAAAAGACTTACTTTTGGTGAAGTAGCACCGCCACCACGATCCAACCAGAAAAGAAGTCCACGATCAGAATCGATTGCTAAAGCAACCGGATTAGATACTGCTGTAGGAGATTGATTATTGTTTAGCACAGTTGCTCGATACTGAAAAATAATTTCAGATGAAATTTATCAATTAATCAATAATCAATATTTTAATCTAATGCCCCAAAATTTTATTCAGATATGAAGAAATAAAAATTACTTTAACATTTACCTGCATATCTTTTGTTCGTACTACCTCAATTGTTTGCGAAATTCTATTTCCAACATACATATTCCGTCCGATCCAGTCCATTGCCATTGTATAAGAATCATCGGGAATTTGTGATGCAATTATCTAAATTTTACTTATCAATTTATCTCTTCTAACATCTTCCAACCATTCATTCTCCTTTTATTAAAATTAATACAATTAATTACCTGTGTTCGATTTGTCGCAGATGATAATACTTGAATAATTCGTGATTCTGGAAGGCTATTAGGACTAATTATTCGACCTGCTGTTGCATGCTCCAAATAAAATATCTGAAATTTCTTCGTTTCTTTTCACCCAAAATCAACAAAGAATGTTTTTGAAAGAGGTACAGTTGTACTGACTGCACTGTGATACTAAAAAAAAATTTTCTTTACTACTAAAGTTTATCATTTCTCCTACAACTAAATTTGTATTACTTCAGCAGATTCCGGATCATAATCTGCATCATACGCATTACTGAGACCAGCAAATGGTATCATTCCGCAAAGTGACGGTGTCCCATTTATTGCATCATCCATTGATAAACCAAAGATATTCGTCTTCTGGATCAACATCAAGAATGGTTTCATATTACTTATACAATTTCTACCATTTGCATCCAAAATTTTACCCAGTGGACATTTGCATGTACTTGTCTAAAAACATAAGGAATTACATGATGGTCATTTCCTATGATCATCATTCCGCCATTTTATCAATATACTGATATGTAAAACATTAATGACAAATAGTTGTCAGTTAAATTATGAGAAACAATTAACATGAAAAGAGTAAAAATTGGAAATAATAAAAAGATCATTTTAAAAATTAATATTCCTTAAATGTATCAGCAAAAAGTTCAATAATATTTTTTGAACTTGAAAGGAAAAGAAAACTAACCATATTTTTACCGATTAAGCATAGATCAGAGCAAGGATTATCAGCACAAGGGTTTTTGAAATTAGGTTGCAAAACAGGATGTACTGCAGTGACACCAAGAGCCTTAGAGAATGTATGTGATTGATATTCTATTGATGTACCATTTGGATATTTTGGATAAAGTTGAAGTCGTTGTAATCGACGATCGCTGTAGTAAATTATATCTTCGAATATTGCCAAAGCATGCGGATGCTGGACGAACTTTGTCGATGCTAATACTTGTGTACGACCTAAATAGTAGTATAACTTTTATCTTTTCTTATTCTCATGCATTGTGCGATTTTTTCAATAATTGAAAATTTTTATTTTAAATTAAAAACTATTTAAAAAAACTTTTTTTTAAAAAGCTATATACTATATTCAAAATTTTCTAATATAAAGAAGAAATGATATGTTTGAAAAAACGAACCAGTGCCATCATAATTGACAAAATCAATATAGTCTAATTTACTATCAGCAAAGTAGAGGCGATTAGTTGTCAAATCTAAAGCAATTGTATTTGGCCAATAAATCTTCGAATCTACCAATATACTTCTCTCAGTCCCATCCATATTTGCTCTTTCAATACGTGGATTCTGTAAAATTTTTATAAAACGTGGATTCTGTAAAATTTCTATATGACGTGGATTCTGTAAAATCCCTATATGACGTGGATTCTGTAAAATGATGTCATGTAAAAAAAGCATAATGAATTTTGAAGCATCTAAAAGAAAAGTAAAAAGAAGCAGCAGTATTAAACAATCATTAAAAAAAGATAATAATTAACAAAATACGCTTACCTGTCCCCAATCAGTCCAAAATAACAATCCTTTTCTTGGATCTACAGCAATACCTCGTGGTTGATCAACATTTTCATGAATTAAAATTGCTCTGCAAAAATAAAAGCTACAAAAAATGACATAATTAACATTTGAACATACATGCACACTATTTTCATAAAAGTAAACAACAAACATTTTACATAAATTTAAAATATTACAATAATAAAAATGATTTAAGATATAAAGAAATGAAAACTAAACGATTAAATTAATTAATTAATATAAAAAAAAAGGAAAAAACAAAACTAATAAAAGAGCTTATACTATTCAATGGAATTAATTACTTAATCAATTAATATAAAAATGAAAATTAAAAAATATATACCGTGCACCAGGCCGTTCCAATGATGCTACTTCTATTGTATTAAGACTTGAATCAACCCAATATAAATTACGCGCAATCCAATCCAATGCAATACCTTCTGTTACATCCAAACCTTCACTAATAAATACTGTCACATTTGTGCCATTTCGTGTTGCCGAATAAATTTTCTTTTCTCTTATATCTGACCTATAACATAGTTAGTTATTCATTAGGTTTAATCTATAAATTACCTATAAATTATCTTATTATTCATACATAAAATTATATATTAATCACATCTATAAAATCAACATCCTTAAATGCTTGCACAAATCTACAATAACAGTTTCCATCTTTAATAAATAAATTAGCAAACCAATAAATTCGATCTTCCACTGAATCCCAAGCTAATGCAATTGCATTCTCCACTCGTGCTTCGAATGTATGCCAATTCTCAAGAAAACGATCAGACCAATAAATGCGATTACGATTTGACACATAAATGCGCATATCCTTAACAATATTCCCTCTTTAACAATTTTTCAAAGATTATTATGATTGATATGATAAGAGGATTAATAAACCTGAATATCATCAATAACATTGTTATGATTGATATGGTAAGAGAGTTAATAAACTTGAATATCATTAATAACTTTATTATGATTGATATAATAAAAGAGTTAATACCTGAACACCATCAATAACTTTACAAGTTCTTTTATCAGCATCCAATATATATCCTTCCTCGCAACTACAACTAAATCCATGCTTTTCATCGGTACAATGCTGACTGCACGAACGAGCATCTAAGCATTCATTTTCTGGTTCACATTTTGTTTTATTCACCAGCTGTAATATTTATTTCATTATTTCATCATAAATTGTTTTTTCATTTAAACCAATTTAACTAACTTCTAATCAAACTTATCATTAAATGAAGAAATAAGAAGAGATTATGCATAAATTTACTTTTCCTTTTATATCCATCCAAAGATAATAAACAAATAATTCCTTCTTTGCTTTTCTTTTTTTTCAGATCTTTAAATTTTATTTTAACGATTGATTGTCTTAACGAGAATTTACCGCTTCACCAAATGGACATGAGCAAAGAGGACCATCAGGGCTCATATGACATTTGAATGCACAACCAGCTCGATCAGCAGCACATAAATCTCGAGCACATCGTCCACCTTCATCGGTACCACCGGGGCAATGATGTTTACCATCACACAAATTATGTAATGGTATGCAATTATCTGGAGCTCCTGGACATGCTATCTAAATAAGAACGAAATGAAATAGAAATTTTTTATATAAATATTTCGCAATTAAACTAATCTACAGGATTTCTTGAAGAAGTTGAGAATTTATCGCAATTCACAAATAAATTTCATGTGTATTTCTAAAGTTAGAAAAATGTATGAATTGAAGTTATATTAATCGTATGAACTATTTGTAATCAACTTTACTAACATCTATGTATATTTGGTAGAAAAGTTGCAGAACAGCTAGCTTAGTTAGCTATCAAATTTTGTAAAGTGTTAATTAATTTGCGATACATTCAAAAGTGATGATAAAAACTGCATGAAAAATGTACATGTTCAAAAGGACATCGAATAGCAAGTAGTTGAGAACGCTGACAGCCATGTTCTCCATCTTCATCACTATTATCACCACAATCATTCTCTCCATCACAAAGCCAAGTCTATAAATTGAAAGAAAGGATATCAGAAATATAATCTTTTACTTTTGAATCCAAACATCATCTCCTCTATGGAAATTATAATTGACATTAAATATTCTATTTATTCTCAACTGGGCAATTGAATAGACAATACATGTAAAAATATCCTACTTCAAATATGTAAATTTAAAACTTATATTCGAAATATATAAATTTAGAATAGAACATTTGCATTTAAATGTGTAAATTTAGAATAGGTTACTTATATATTAAATGTGTAAAAAATAGTTGTATACTACATATTCTAAATATGTAAAAATACTTGCGTTGAAAATGCAACGACCATTAGCACATTTGAAATGATCTTTGGCACATTGAGTGTTTGAACATAGGCTTTCCGGTTCATCGCTTCCATCTTCACAGTCCTGAAATATTAAAATGTGTTTTTTTATGTAACAGTTTTTCTTCCTTAAAAGCATTTGAATATGAATTTAGTGAAATTTGTTCTGAATTTTAAAATGATGAAACTTGAAAATTACTTTTTGTCCATCACATTTCCATGCTATCGGTATGCAAAATCCATCAGATAGGCATGTAAATTCATTGTGTGTACACTTATTTTCCTTCAAAAAAGCATTTTAATCCATTTATGAACTTTCATTCCAATCATATATTTTCTTCTTCTCAGTAATAAATTTCAATGAAATAGATGCTAATAATTAAATGTTTTTTTTACTGCATAATATATTTGGAAGACAAAATTAATTAATTAAGAATATGTAGAAGAACCTGAAAGAGACAACTTTCTTCATCCGATCCATCATCGCAATCTTGTTGTCCATCACAGTGGTTTTTGAGTGAGATACATTGTCGTCTGTTAGCGCAACGAAATTGCTCAGGGCGGCATTGAACTGATGGACATCTTTCTTTATCTTCATCCGTATTATCATAGCAATCGTTATCACCATCACAAAGCCAATAAACCGGAATACAACGACCATTCCCGCATGTGAACTGTACATGAAAGCAATTAACCGGTTATTTATTTATTTATATTTGTTTATTTATTTCAACTCCTTTTTTCATTTTTTTTTGATACTAAGCATTTAATTTTGACTGATACGAAATCTCTCATTTATGCATTAGCGCCATCTCATAAACGTCCATTAGCGCCCGTTATGAGAGAATATAGTCTCTTCTATATGCAAAAATACAAAGCGTTATAGTTTCAATTCAATCATTTTTTAAAAAGATTACCTGACTGGAAGAGCATGTCGCATTCGCGCACATTTCCAATTTTTCATCAGAACCATCACCACAATCATTATCCGAATCACATTTCCATTGTTCCGGAATGCATCGATGATTATCACATTGAAACTTTCGTGATGCACAAATGGGAATTTCACCATTTTTGCAATACTGCAATATTAGCATACATTTCAAGGATTTTAAAATATAATTTCAATACTATGATAATCATTTGAACATTTTTCTGCCAATAGATTGAACTTTCTTTTTCCATTCCTCCATTCTTGTATTTCATTTCAGGAAAATAATAGCAAAACTAATAGCAAAACATGAAGTGATGTAACTAACATTCAAATTTTATCCTTACCTTAACATCTTCATCAGAATAATCACCGCAATCATTATCACCATCACAAGCATATTGCTGAGGTATGCATTTCTTCGTATTGTTACAACGAATCGTATTTGTTGGACATTCTTTTTCAACAAAACAAGGCTTACCATCTGGTCCTATCTGAAAATTTTTCCAAGTCACTTTTATCATTTTAACATATAATAATGAATTTTATAATTATTGTTACATAGTAATAAATGATAGCGTTTAATCATAAAAGATATCACCTCATCACTTCCATCAAGACAATCATTTTCCCCATCACATTTCCATTCATTTCGTATACATCGTCCATTAGTGCATAAAAATTGCGATGTATTACTAGCACATATTATTTCGATAACTTCATGAGGATCACGTTGACAGGTACGCATATTTTCTGGATTTATTTTGAACCCTAAATTCTAAATCTTGAAGAGAAAGAATCAGAAGGAACGATTTTTTGATACCCTATTAGGTTTTTTTTTGGAAGAGATGCAGTGATTTAGGAAAGATTTCTTTAAATACTTGTAGTAAGAGTCAATAACTTGCCTTGCTTACATCCACATCTTTTCACAAGTGGTTGAGCTTCTGAGGATGATGAAGTATTAGGAAGTCCAAAGCAAAGTTGTGAACAGTCACTGGAATGGCATGGATGCTCAATTGATGGATCAGGTATCGGTTGATTTGCCGGTGAACAAGCCTATAAATATCAAATGTCTATTATTTTGGAATGCAAAATTACGATTAAATAATCTAATTGCAATATGCTTTTAAATAGGAATGGCCAAAAATACCTTCAATGAGAAAACACTTCGAAATTTGTCATTAAATTGGCGGATAATTCGACCTTTACCGCCATTTCGTTTGTTGACACGACGTATGGAATATGGCCTCTGATGTAAATAATATAGATCATCTGTAAATCATTCATTCTTCAAGAAAAAAATGATAATGAACATGAAAGTTAAGAGGTAAGAGACATAGAGAGATATATTTATATCAATAATATATACTTTTCCATGATCAGAAAAGAAATTATCGTGATCAATTAATTACCTCCAAGTATAGCAATAGCATCAGGAATTGGATTATCCACAGGTAGAACATATGGATTTGAACCATCAAAATTCATACAATTAATTGTCATCAGTAAAGTATCAGAGTAGCAAAGCCGATCCTCCGCGAAATCAATAGTAATACTGGATGGTCTTCCGATGGTTGTATTCCGTATGATTTGACAATTACTTGCATCTGCAAGCAATTTTATTTTTAAATATAAAAGAAAAAGCTTCTTAATTTAACTTATTATTCAACATATCTATTTTCTCACCTATCATACATCGATAAATTCTTGCAGGTCGCTCAGCATCAGCAAAAAATAGTATTCCACGCCATGGATGTACAGCAACGGCAACCGGTTCACGCAAACCGCTCAGTAATTGACGATGAATAAGCTGATCCGGATGAACAAGATTCTAAATAGTTCATGTTTATAAAATTAAATTAACAGTATTATCTTTTAAGCGTAAGAGAAAAAAATCAAAGGAATGAAAAACAATTTGAAATAATATAAATTTTTCTTCTCTTTTCAAATGAGAGACATTCCTGAGCATGTTCCTTTTAGATGAGATATATCTAACGGTAATACTGATCAGGTTAAATCAATGATAGCTTTTAAATTCTTTTCTATTTTCCTGACTCCTTTTTTTACCAACTAACACAGTAGCTGACCTCTTCAGATATTTTGACAACTTCAAGACTATTTCGGATATTGTCAACATAATAAAGCTGCTTTGAAAGCCAATCGAATGACATTGAAACCAATCCCATATTATGAGTGACTAGTACTGGCACTGAACCTTCTCCATCTGGTTTTACTCTGGAAATTAAGTAATATTGAGCAAAATATTGTCTAATTAATCTAAGAGATAGATGTGTATGAAATAATTAAAGTATCTTTTCCGGATTTACTGAATTTATATCATTAGTATATATACCTGTTCAGCACAAATAACAACGGACCACTTTACCTTATTAGTAAGCTATCATAGTTTCCGGATATTCAAACATTTGCAAGTACTGATGAAAAATCCAAAAGAAATGATTAATTGAAGTATAAAAGTGCAAATTACACAACTCTACATTAGACAAACATACTGTCCCATGTTTTAATGTGTTTAATCAAATTATAAATTACTGTAAAGAGTATGAAATTATTACCTGTAAATAGTATGATGAAAGACATCTGCATAAAAGAAGCTGTTACCATGAATATCACATTCTACTTCATGATATATTCCAATACGACGTTCTGAAATTGGTGATACGGGTAAAATTGCTTCACTCAGCGAATTCTGATCTATTTCCGGAAATATGCCACGTACTATTTTGGTACCACTGAATAAGAGATAATTAGTGGAATCGACGCACTGCTTTCCATCCACTAACTTCTGCAAATATATATGACATTCTATTCTTATTATAACATTATAACAACGGAGTTAAAATTAGAGCAGTTCATTATTATTATTATCTATTATTATTATTTATTACCACTATTATTATTATTGATTATTATTTATTATTTATTGTTATTAATTGTTTATTAATTAATAATGGACCATTGTTTATTATTACTAATTATCATGGATTATTTATCATTACTCATTAATTACTTGTCGATTAATATTTATTAATTATGTTAATTATTATTATTGTCATTATTATTATCTTAGTTAGTCATGTTTGGAAAATCCATGTAAAAAAAATTCTTTTAAATTATTTTTATTTATACATGAACTTTATCTCCAGCACTAATTTACTTCATAAGTATCTTATCAAGTAATTTCATCTTCCAACAATTATATCAATTAAAATTAGAGCAGTAAAGTAATTATAACCTGTCCTATTGGACAAACACATCGATACCCAACACCATTTCCATTAGCATCTTTGGTTAAAATGCACATTCCTTGACAGTCAGCTTCAACGCATGGATTATCAACCTTCAATCCAAGACATTCACCTTCTTGCGGTCCAATTTGAACCATCGGATGATATGCTGCGATACCCATTGGAAAGACATTATTTTCCTTTTTTGTCCTGCAAAAAATTTTTCATCAATAACATAAAAATCAAATCTATAAAAACAGTACCATTAAATTGCTTATATAATTTTAAAAAATTTCTTTTCAAATAGTTTGATATAATGATTATTGATCTATTATTGGCGATCAGTAGTAAACGTCTCATTAAGTTGTAGATTTCCCACAATGCAAAAAAAATGAAATAATTACCAAATAATATCTACTGGTGAGCCAAACTTTTCAACACGCAAAATGCCAAGACGTGTCCAATCTGTCCAATAGAGATACTGATCGAATATGGTAAGACCAAATGGATGTGGAACCTAAACAATTTTTATTGTTAACGATAATTTTATCTAACTAATATAGAATTTAACACTCTCAAAAAAAAAACAACAGATGCCTAACTTGCTTCATTATATACTTGAAAGTTTTACTCATCAACTTACCTGTACTTTTTGCTCGTTACTTTACCTGCATTTTTTGCTCATTACTTTATCTGTTTTCAAGAATATATAAAAAACTTTCCATTATCATAGGCTTAGCATTCTTACAAGATATCAGCCTTAGGATCAAATTTAAATATAATTTCTATTAATAAATTTTGTTTGATAATTATTATGCGATAGTTCTTCGGTAACAATAATTTTTATTATATACGAAAATATTCGATAAGAATTTTTGTCTTGTAATGATCATTTGTTGCTAAACAATTAGAATATTTCACTGTCTTAGAAATTAGTTTTGAGAATTCACAAAATCTTAAACTTACATATGTTTTATTCAAATCAAGAAAAAGCGATAATTAGAGAAAGGAAGGAAGAGAGAGAGTTCCCTCTACAACAATAGAAGATCAAACTACGATAAAAAATGTTATCAAAACTTTAGATTGGAAACACCAGACAATATCACATGCATTATTAACTGGCCTTATTCAATGTGCGATAAAATTATTATGAAAGTAATGGCCACTTCATTACGAATTATAAACTGATCAATAGATGATTTTATTGAATAGAATGGATGGAAATATTCTAATCACTAAAATATATTGGCAATTTTATATATAGAAATTATCAAGAAGCAATATCGGATGGATGAAAACTAACATCATTCATCCCTTGTACAACTACCCTTCGATCATTTCCATTGTAATCGATTGATTCCACTCGATCAACTTTAGGATCAACCCAGTAAACTCGTTTAGCGGCAATATCAACTAAACTTCACACACGCACATATCATTTAATAATGCTGTTTTGAGATTAAAATATAACAGAAAAGGAAAACATCATTTTCATTATTGTGAATAAATAATAATTTGCAACATGCAATTTCTTGTTTATTAAAATTAAATTAAACTTTTGAATTTAATAAAGATAGAAATAAAGCTGACCTACAACACCGCTCACTTGATGTGTATGGGTGTCAATTAGAGTACGTCGATGAGTTCCATCCATTGCTGCACTTTCTAATTTGAATTGATTTGAAAAAAACATCTCACTGCAAAATTACTAATAAAAATTTCCAACTTTGGCGCAAAGTTCAAACGAATAAAAAATTCTTATTAACATTATCATTTGATTTTTCTTTTGAAAAAAAAAAATGATAAATTTGATTTACATAAAAATTTCCAATTTTTAATTTACCAAAATTATTAAAGTATTTGTAAGAAATTGAAGTGATCGAAAAAAATACCCCCTAATTGGATCAAGGGCAATATCCAATGGTAATGTCAAATCATCAGCGATCAAAACAGTTCTCCTTTCGCCATCAAACGTTGAAATATCAATTCGTTTTGATCCCGACTCAACAATATATAAATGATTCGTAATCCAATCAACTGCCAAATTTCGTGGAAAAATTAAATTTTTCAATTCAAGTTTCCTGAAATTAAATCCACTTCTTTTGTACTATATATAAGTTAACGATTATTAACAATATTTTTGGATAATTTTTGAAGATGATAAAACAAACTTAATATTTTTTATATCTCCATTATCATCAATATCACCACTGAATGCTGAGTGTGACAATCGATCGGTCCAAAACATTTTCTTATCACCAAAATCAAATCCAATACCATAAATGAATTCACCGCTAACCAATTTTTTTGCTTCTTCATCTGGATTATTTGGATCTATCCTGACAAACAAATCAGATTTTATTGAAATAATAAGATTTGCTAAAATACAAAGTCAAATTATTATCTAAGATTTTTCAATGACCAGCTTATTTACAATCAACTGAAATTTTTTATTAATGAAAATAAGAAAAATTGTAACTAACAAAAATATGAATAATTAATTGGAATGTATTAATTGGGAAGTGTCTCCCTCTCTCTTTCTAAAATAGAAGATACGCAAATCGTGTTATCACATAGATAATCTGGCTTAATAATATATAAGAACTTAAATAGTGTACTTGAAAGGGAGAAATACCTGTACAATCCCTCTCTTCTAGCAATATATAGTCTCATAGTATCTGAATCTCGTGATAAACAGTATCCTCGCAGAGTACGATTATCATTTCTAGGACCATGCATCATTTCCAAATGATAACATTCGCTAAGACATGAGCAGGTGAATCCCGGACGATGATTCTGACAACCTTGATCGCAGTAACCCCATTCAATACATTCATTGATATCTGATAAAAGCAGATAAATTTAGATTTTTATCATCATGTATTATGATAATTTCTCACTATACACTTGAATGATGAAACAGAAGCTTAGAAACATTAGACAAATTACGAATAGATAAGAATATTTGATTGGAGTTATCATAAGTGTCGTTGTAAAATGACAATTTTCAAAAAATCTTCCTCTTTTTATATTTGTGATGATGTCAATTCTTTAGATATCTTCAAATTACTCAAAATAATTTGTTTAATATTTCGAAGCTTTCCTGTGATCAATGATACTAATATCTCTTAGCAAGCTTTAGTTGTTCTTTCAATTATACTGTATTAAATTTAGGATGATAAAGATTCCGATAGGGATTTCGAAACATTTTCCTAATATTTTTAAAAATTTTTCTTACCGGAACAAGTTCTGTGAAATCGTTCATCTAACTTGTAGCCAACGGGGCAAGTACAAACTCCACCAGATGGTGATGAATGGCATCCGGCTTGACATCCCAACGATGGACAAAGATTTGATGCTGAAATTTCGGCTTCTTAATCCAGTTTTGAAGTATAAAATGGTCAAAACTTGAATTTTAAGTGCTATTTATTTTTCCCCCATATTTTTATATTTGCCATTGTCGCATAAGCAGGCGCACTTTGTATCAGAGCACAAAAATTCTTCATGATAAAATTGGCGATACCTACTTGACGGGTGAGCGATCTTTCTATCCCATTCTGCTCACAAATTCAATTTCTCATATTTATTTTGCTCACAAATTCAATTTCTCATATTTATAAAAAGCTACTAAAAACACTAACAGCAATTCTTCTCATCGGCACCATCAGAACAATCATTTTTCCCATCACATAATTTAGTTTTATGAATGCAGTGACCCGAACCAGGACAATTCCATTGCTGTGGCGGACAAAGATACTGCCCACATCCTTCTTCATCAGAATTATCACCTACAAATTAAAATTTCATCACATATCATCATTTGATTTCTTCGACAACTTCATATTTCACTTTCTGTCAACCGAAAACTTCAAAGAGGCAATTACATATCCAACTGTCAATAATGATATAAAAATCAGTTTAATTACTGAAATTTCGGCTTCTCAATCCAGTTTTGAAGCATAAAATGGGTAAAACTTGAATTTTAAGTGCTTTTTATTCTTCCCCCATATTTTTATATCTGCCATTGTAGCACAAAAGCAGGCGCATTTTGTATCAGTGCACAAAAATTTTCCATAATAGAATTGATGATTTCTACTCGACGGATCAGCGAAAGTGTACTACTTTTCGACAATTTCTTTTCATGACTAAAGATTAAAATTTTAGAGGAAAAAAATTAGCTCATGATCTGGTTGATTTCGATGGCAATAAAAAGCAAGAATTGTAGCAATAAATTTATTAATGCTTTTTCAAATAGAAAAGATAGTAGTTCTTCACATATAGTTAGTTGTCTTGCAAGAGAATAATGTGACCTTTATTGAAAGTAAGGTGAATTATTGAAGTCAACTGCAAAACTTCAACGTGCTTCTCGTGAAAAAAATTGTAAACTATTCAAAATCATTGCTTAAGAAGAAAAATCAAAACAAACCGCAATCATCATAGTAATCACAACGAAACTTTCGTGGTTGACATCGTTTGTTTTTACATTGAAATTCACCACCGCTACATTGTTTGAATTCTAAAAATCTCATCAATATACGCTTATATCATGATATTTTTTTCTGACTCAAATGTATGCACGAAGGTAACAACGTGTAATACGTGTAACACGTAATATAGGCGTAAATGATTAAATAGGAAAATTTTTTTCTGGATTTTCTGATAAGACGAAATATCTCTTCATTATTGCACCATGAAGAAGTCTGATGGATGAGTGAAAAATCAATTTACCACATGTTGATGGTTCATCTGAACCATCAGCGCAATCATTTGAACCATCACAAACCCATGATTTTTGAACACATTGTGATTGATCTGCACAACGAAATTGATATTGAAAGCATGCTGTATGATTGTGTGGACAAGAATCCTATAAATTTCAATTTAAAAAATGTTCCAATAAAAAATATTACGGTACGAAGAGACAAACATACACATTTGGAGACTTTCAGGCAATTGAATAAATTATATCTTTCAGTGATAAAGAACCGAACGTTAGATATGCCATATATGTATGTATGTATGTATGTATGGAGATTCCGTGGTATGAATGTACTTCTGTCATCAGATTAACTAAACAAATAAGTAAACGCGCCTTTTCATCACTTAGATCTCTGCAATCATACTTTCCATCACATTTCCTTGATATATCAAAGCACTGTCTTCCATCAGCGCATTGGAATACTGAGCCATCGTTAACATTACATGATACGCTCATCCCCGCTACAACATACATCAAAATTTTTACAGCACACGATAATTGAAACATTATTTAATTTGAGTATTTGAGGTAAAACAGAATCTTTCAAGTACCGTAACAATATCATTGAAATGTCAAATTACACATATAAATTATACAGAATTACCAACTAATATATGAAATCAAACTAACGACAGTCCACTTCATCTGAACCATCTGCACAATCTGTGATATTATCACATCGCTGATATTCCGGAATACAAGAAACTGAGCGCCACTCGTATTTGTCACATTGCCATTGATCCGGTTTACAGCCAGGATGTGCTATAACAAAATTTCCTGCATAAACTACCATAACTTTTCATAGCTCATGAAAATATTACAACAAACTTCGAAAATCGTCTATAATGAAAATATTATTTCTAAAAGTTCTTTTATACTAACAAATAAATTGCAATTCCATGGCAACCAATCTGGTCATTTAAATAGGTCATTTAAATAAGGTCATTTAAATAAAGCATAGCTTAGTATGGTGACATTTATGGCTCAAATGTTTTACCCATTTAATTAAATTAGTTCATTTGTAAATTGTGGCCAAGCACGCAGAAAGTACACTGTAGTGAGGCTAAGTACGCAAAAAATAAATTGTACTGAGAAATTAACAAAAATCAACCTTATTCCAACCTATTAAAATTAATTAAATGAAACTAACGGCAATCCTTCTCATCTTCACCATCTGAACAATCGCCTGATCCATCACATTTCCATTCGAACCTGATACATTTTCCATCATTACAGCGAAAATCATTTTCTAAGCAACCAATAGCACCGGAACGAATTGATGCTGAGATTGGACCAGGTAATGATATCTCAGTTTGAGAGATTGGTGAATCTACTGCAATCAATATTGCATAATTACTTCATCTACATCTTATATAAAAATCAATAACGTTAATAATATTTATCATATAAACAATATTGATTATTTCATATGATAAAGAATTAAATGATATTTAATCTGGATATCATTATAACGATTTAATCTTTTTATCAAACAATAAAGGTCAATAAGATACATTCACTTCTGTATTTCACATCTGACAGAAATATCGTTTGTACAAAATTTACTGATTGTTTTATAAAGAAGAAACAATGTTTTCCTGTCATATCGAATCATTTTATCTTTTAGTTGATGTTTAAGTACAAGTAGAATTGGATAGGAAAGGTAAAAAATTGACGGTTAAGTGATAAATGAGTTACAAATCAGTTTTATGATTTGGAATGATTGAAGTTAAGTTTACTTTGAAGAATCCACCGACAATACTTTCCACATTCATCTGTCTTGATTTTACCTCTTGCAAGGTCTCTGAAGAATTCCAAGACCCTAGGGGCTTAGGCTTCAGGATTTAGGGCTTAAACTTCATTTTAGACGTTGCACGTTTTTATTTTAACTTAAAGCTAATATTATTTAGTTTAATATATTCATTTGATGTATTGGGGGAGGTCAAATCAAGGTCTTGTAGCAAGAATAGTCGGCGGTGTACAAAATGATTGTATGTTAAAATTGGAATCCTTTAAAAACATCGGATAATGAATTATGCAAAACAATCAAACTATTTATTAATTTACAATTAATTATAAAGGCTGGTAGGATAAAATAACTCACACAGATGAAAAGTTTGATAAACTGATACTTTTTTAAGAATTAAATACAGAAATTGTTCATAACATAATCAACCAATTTTATTCACTTCTGATGATAAAACGAAAAAATTGATAAAAAAACGTTATCAATTATCCTAACTGAATTCACAGCACTAACCAACCAAAAACGTTATCAATTATCCTCACTGAATTCATAGCACTAACCAACCATATACGTATACTTTTCATATCACACAAGAGAAATATTTTATTGCCAAATCAGTTCAAACATTTTCATTTATCATCATTATTAGCCTTTCTCACATTTATCTCTCCTTTTAGGGTTTAAAGTTCATTTCAAAATTTTAACTTAAACCTAATATTCGTTTAATTTAACATAACCGATCGATGGTTATTTCAGTTTAAACATACATATCCGTTGTTTTTTTTTTTTATACTAGAAAATAAAAAATCGTAAATGTATTTATATTTTTGAATTTTAAACTTTAAAAATATAAATTGAATGATGAAATAATCGAATGGAAGGAAATATTTTTGTTTGTATCTTTCACTCAAATTTTCATTCTCATCGAAATGTTTTTTCCCTTTCCAAAAATATTTTATTTCAACATTGATGGATTTTCAATGAAAGATAGCTTTAAGAGATTGCATTTATTGAAAGCATAAATGCCAATTCTTTTTTCACTTTGTAAAAATCAATTTAACGATCAAAAATTGACAAAATAATAGGCCTAAATATGGAAGGCATTGTATGATTTATTATATTTCCATAATGGGAATTATTAATTTGCTATCTTTCTTTTTGTTTTTTATTCCTCCCAAAATTATTTTAAAAATTTATTTATTTTTCTATCCTTATCTTAAAAAAAAAACCTTTATCATAATTTAAATAAGACAGATAGCTGTTAAGCAATATCATTTTCAGATTCTTTTCAATATTATACAATATCATTTTCATTCACTATACACTAATCTATGATATCATTCATATATGATATATATAGAATATACGATAATTTTCAAATTATAATTTTTCCTATGGTATCATTCATATATGACATATATAGAATATAAATGATTCGATACGATAATTTTCAAATTATAATTTTGATGCATTAATTTGATTGAATTAAATAAAAAGTTTGTAATTTTTATTGATTATTAATATCTCTATAAATTGATATTATATTAATCAATTATCTTTAAATATTAATTAATTAGCAATATTTCATTTATATTTATAATTATTTTTTGGTTAGAAAAATTTGAGAGAAAATTGAAAGAATTGAATGATACTTTGCCATCTGTCATCAACTTATAATAAAGCTTTTGTAGCAATTATTTCTTCTTCCCAATCATTTCCTCCCTATCTTCTCTATTATCAATGAAAGTGACACACACACACACACACACACACACACACACACATACACACACATACACACACATGCACACACATACACACATACACATACATTCAACGAATTTAAATTAAACTCTTTTCAACTTCACTGCCACAGAATAAATTTTCACTTCTTTTTTTCTTCGAATACAATTTATCAATAAAAGTTATTGGTGAAAAGAAGCATTTTAGGAAGGAATGCGACGATCAGTCATCAATGATTTGTTGTGTTATTCGATCTTAAAAAGCGAACAAAATGGCATCTTCGTTTTTTTAAGAATGATTTTGAAAATGTTCCGAGAAATTGTTTTACCCTACGAAAATAACATATCTATACCTTTCATTCCTTTCCTTTACTTCTATCTCCCTCTCTCTCTCTCTCTCTCTCTTCTATCTGTAATTTTCGTATAGAAATAGAGAAATGATTTTGCTTTACAGAAACCCTTCAATAATTACATTTGCTATTCTGAGCAATTTTTTCCTGATTGCAACATTTGAAAGAAAAGCTAATTTAGAAGAGAGAGAGAGAGAGAGAGAGAGAGGGAGGGAGAGAAAGAAAGAGAGAAGTAGAGATATGAATATTAATTCATCTATTTAATTTTTCAACATTATCGATTACTTTTATCATTAAATTATAAATCAATCAATCGATCATTAATGCATTAATAATATTTGAATATTTTAATTGTTATTTGGAAAGAAATAATTTCTTTCAATTTTTCTTTCGTTCTTTTTTTGTTGCTAAAATAAATTGAATAGTCACAAATAATATTACTGCGAAAATGTGGAAAATTTGATGATAACACCTGTACATACACTTTCATACCTGTACATACATTTCACACCTGTACATACATTTCATATACATACATACATACATACATACATACATACAACGGAATTTTCATCAAATTTATCCTAAAATTTTGAATGAAATAACTGCTAATAAAAATAGAAAAAAAAAATCAACTGAAATAATGATTAAACAAAGAGTTTTTATCGCGTAGAAAAGAATAATAATAATGTGGCGGTAATTTACGATGTGGCGGTAATTTACAAATTATAATAAAGTATGAGATTTCTGATGAAGTAAGAAAAGTTAAGATGATAATCTAATCAGTTAATAATAATTTCTTTAAACTACTAGCTCATAGAATTGTTATTAATTCAATAAATACAACAACAAGTAAGTATAATCACAAAATGGCTTAGACAATATTCATTCTTTTTTTCTAGTCCTAAAAAAATTAGCTTTAAAACAATTATAATTTTTTGTGTGATAGTTTGATATGATAAAGGCTATTTCAATTCCTTGATAAGAATGATCGTTGAAATTCAGTACCATTGAAATTTAGTATCATTCATTTCGTGGAATTACATTAGATAGAACAAGCTAAGCCATTCATTAGTATTAGTTAACACGACTAATCCATTATTTCGTTTCATCAGATATTAACTGTACATGACCTGTTAACCGGAATGTATTATATTTAAAGTAAATCGATAAGGTAAATTAATGGATTAGTTTCTAATCTTCTCATATTTAGTAAATTAAACATTATTTTTTTAAGGATCAAGTAATTGATAAATGTTATTACGAATTTTATTATAGACAATAAATGGATTAGCTACTATTAACGAAGTTACGCTTTTCTTTCATCCATTTTTCTTTGTCATCAATTTCAGGATAATTTAAAGATCTATTCATTAGATATTATCATATCATGATCATTTAAACAGAAATAAATTATCCTTCATTGACAGATGATCACGATAACTCAGCAGGGGAAAACTAATTATCGGGAAGTGTTACATACTGAGCTAAAACTTAATAAATAATTCAAACGGGGTCAGTTTTGTCGCCGTACTATAGTACATCGTGTTAGAAAAACGTGGAGACAATCTGACCATTCGATACATGCGACTACGATACTGTACAATTAATATTTTGATAGGATTCAATTATTCCGGTTAGAACGATAAAGATTATTATAGTCAATTTATATATGAGAAAGTATATGATCTAATCACCAATTGAATTTTTTTAAAAAAAACGCAACATTATTTTTTTACATCCATTAATATTTTTTGGATAAATAATAATGGTGGATAATTTGAAGAAAATTTTTTGATAATCTTTTAGACATTCATTTCATCCATCCATCAATAAAATTTATCTGAAACATTTCGATATCTGAAAGATATCAAAATGATATGATATGATAGTTAAATGGTGATCGAATATTGCTAATAGCTAATTTACTATTCATTCGAAATGTTACTTTTTACATTGCACTGAAAGTCAATAATCACTATCATAAAGAGAAATTAAGAGATAGAAAGATGTAATCAACTAATTGTAGCACTTCAAAACATCACAAAATTTACTTTGAAATTTCTTCAGTCCTTATTTTTTTGAATATTACACACTCAATGAAGTTTATTTGTTTATTCGACTTCTTAGATTTAATTTAATTTTACAATGAATTTTTAGAATATTTATATTTTTGAAATCAAATGAAAATATGAGGAAAAAATCATATCATATTGTGTTGTTGTAAAATTGTGAAAATATGTTAATAAGCATTTTTTTTAAAGCTCTTTAATTTTTTAATGCGATTACGATAGGAATTATTCTATTAATGCCAATAGTATAATCATACAATTCATCTTATTTTATTATCCTATACACGCATACATTTATTTTGCTATCGAATTCAAGGAAGACGGTATAATCACAACAATTATATAGTGACTTTATTTTCTCCTCTAAATGTAAATACAGTAATTGCAAACATTGCAATAACTTAAACAATCCCCTTCATCTCTTACACAAGTAGGTGTATATATATACATATTAACTTAAACGATACACATAAAGGTAGGTCATTAGGTTCAGTTCAAAAGTTGATATCAATAGTTTGCAGTTAAAGCTATTCAACGAAGGAAAAATTTGAATTGATAAATTTTACTTCAACACTCGTGATACATTATGTTGTTTTAGCTACAAAGAAATTTTTATAATAACAACAACAAATTTAACTCAGTATCGGAAAAGTAAACGGTTAAAGTGATAAAGAGATGGAACTGAATATTGAAGAGAAATGAAATCGTAACCAATAAAAAGGTTATAATGTTTGAAATATTTAAGAATGATATAAATGTGAAAAAAATAATAGAAAACCTTTTATAGGAATAAGATCCGGATTAGCTGCCCATGTTCGTTGTACATTTTCTGATAATGTATAAGTCAGATAATATAATAACAGTAGCATGATCTAAATATAGAAAATAATGAAATATGAAATATAAGAGAGATAGAGAGATTAGATGTGATTGTATTGCGTAAATCGTTTTGTCGCCTTTGCACGACGATTGACTACCACATCTGAAATGATAAGGAATAAAAACTGATAAAAAAAAAGGCAGATACACATTAATTTAACACAGAAGTACTCAATAGATATTGTTATCATTATTTGCCGATACTTCGTTGGTCTAAATTAATATTATCATAATCAGTATTAAATATTATCGTAATCAGTATTTTATAAATATTAAAAATGTACCATAGCATTAACAGAAGAAAGAAGTAAAAAGAAGGAATGAATAGAAAAGCAACACCGTGCATCATTTCTTTAATTGAAAAATGAGAAGAAATGGCTAATTCATATTTCAACTTTATCGATGAAATATTTCATCAAATATTCCACAACAACAATAATAGCGACAATAGCAATATCATCATCATTGTCTTTAATACTAATACAATACTTTCTGGTATGAAAGAAGATTGATTGTTAAACAGTAAGCAATCATCATCATCATTGCTACTACTTCTTCATTTTTCCATTTGTGTGTTAACGAAAGTAAAGCTACGACGAAATGTTAAAACAAGGCAATCGAACAGTGTTGCGCATGTCAACAGAACAAAAGACAGTGCGGTGAATCAATTTCACAATGCAATTAATAAATTGTTTGTTTCGAAATTGAAACTAGTAAGAATAGATGGGAATGGAGTAGCATCGAGGGAAAAAGAAAGAAAAATATTATTACAGGTAGAAAGATATAGGCGGGGGATGAAAGGATGGGGTAAATGAACTACCACCTTTCTTTTCTCCCTCTTTCCTCTCTTCCTACTTCTTTTACCTTTTAATCATATTATCACGAGGTGAAACAAAAATGATGTTGGGGTATATATTGATGGAAGAGAGGCGGGGGAGAAGGAGGAGGGGGAAATGTGTGTTCAACAAATTCTCTCACTTTAAAATGATGATGACAACGAATGATGACGATGACGATGATTGCATACCTACCCGACCCGATCTCCCCCCTCTCCTATCTACATCACTCTATACCTCGATCGGCAACACCGGTCATATCCCATCACTACTATCTTTTACCGACCGGTAACAACATCGTCACGAATAGCGCACATTTTCTTCTTCTTTCAAACTCTTTTCTTCTTTAATTGGTGCTATTACAAGCTCTACAAGGCATATCAATGCATGTATCTTCCACACTCCATTATTTAGACTATGATACTCCAAAACAGCTTAACAAAAGCCTATAATTGCTATAGGATGATGATAGGCTAACTAGTAGATCATCATTATACCATCCTCTAATACTTTCTCCGATACTGTCTGTATCTTCGATTGTACTACATAACAAAAGAATTTAACAAAGGGATAGTTATCCCTTTTCTTAAAATTTCGATGTCTCATTCCGGCAATAATCGATTTGCTTTCATTCATCTTTTCATCATTCTCTTTGTCCTCTCCCTCCTCTCTGAAACCATAGTAACCATTATTTAATATTTTTGCAAAAATCTCCATTAAAAATATCAGCTCAGCAATGATTGAATTCCTTAACGAATACATAGTATATAATATGTATGATGTGATTAAATAAAATAGCTATCGCTAAATAAAAAATAGCTTTAAAATAACTATCGCTTCTTAGGCATAAAATATTTCCTAAATGTATCGCATACAAAATTGAGCAACAATCAATCTGTAGAAGCGCTCATATAAAATTAAATACACCCAATAGGATATATTGTAATTTGAATATTTGAATGATACAAGGTTAGTTAAGATTGAGGGATAGTGAAGAGAGAAAGGATTGTTAATCCATCTTCATCGGTCATATTCCTGATCATATTCCTTTTCATTAATAAATAGATGAAAGAGAGAGAGAGAGAGAGAGAGAGAGAGAGAGAGAGAGGGAAATGTGCATAAAAAGAAAATGAAGAACTAAAATAATGATAAAGAAGAATAGAGTTATTAAATCACATGATTATATAAAATGCTTAAAAATTGCTAATATTAAGTAATCAAAACTAAGAATGTATTCAAAACATTTATGAATAATTTCAAATTTTATTTTAAAGTAGGATTGAAAAGTTTGAAATTAGTTGAATGTTTTCCGGAAATGTTGGATGAATTTGAATACTTTCTTACCTCTCAGTTTTATCATACAGTTCCTCTAAAATATAATGCTTTCAATGATATAACTATTTATACATTCAACTATAAGGAACAGCAATAGTATAAAGAAAAAGCATAAAAGAAGCATCGGGAATAACAACAAACAACAACACCTCAGCCATGTAGCACACACATTTTGATGCCATCGATATCATACGGGTTGTGTGTCAGCCCTCAATGCTGCCCAAAATACCACGGAAGGGGCAAGGGAAGATGGAGGGGAGTCTGTCATTTTGGTCTCATCAACGAACTAACCAGCCATCATCACTTCACTATTACAAACCTGATTTTGTAAGAGCGCGGGGTAAAAAGCGACCATCCATTAATTCATTCATCTATCCTCCATAACTCAGTTCCTCTTCCACTCATTTTACTGATGTTCATCACATTTATGCATGACAACATAATGATCATATACATCAAGAATAGTAGCGGAAGCAGTAACGGATGAACATCAATACTTTGAAACTCACTAATATTAGAACATATTTAAATGAGCCAAATGGTTGAAGGTGAATGGCTTAGATTGAAGCAGAAGAAATGGCCATCTTGAATGATCTCGATATATACTTTGAGACTTATTATAGAGAATGCAGCAGAATAGAGCGAGCAATGTGGGCTATGCATTTTCGAAACTTCACAAGAGTGAACTATATTAAATACCGCTCAAGAGAACTTATTTCATCGCTACCTCTTACTTCAGAATTGTAAACTGTTCACATGCAACTTTGAAGATGTGTATTCAATAAATTTATCGAAAATCCACAAAAAACAATAATTAAATATAATAAACAATTGAACACTAAGCGTGAGTGCATTAGCTCTCGCTAATATTTGTAGCAAAAAGGCAGCGACGAATTTCTTACAAAGCTGTAATAATTCAACAGTAAACAAATGCTGGAGAGCACTTTCAATGGGAAATCGTACTTCCTGTTAAGAAACAACTTATCTCATATAAATAGCCACCAGTTCAATTTCACGCGAAATGATTGTACAAAAGTACGCGAAATGATTATAAAATTCGATTTTTCTCTTCTATCCTCATTCTGGCTATCTTTTTAACAGCACTATCTTCGTCGTCAGAATTTTCCAAATAGGGTATTTCGTCTGCGTTAAATAAATCTTCATTAATTTCCATATTTCTAATACCACCATCAGTCTCTTCCCACTAAAATAATGGTAATTAAATAATGATTAAAATAAAATAATGATTACGGGAATCATACATTAAAAAGATGTCAGATGAAAAGAACATGGATCACATATTCTGATAAATATTCTTTTCAAGGATGCTTTATAGCAGTTTTCGGCGAAACTTACAAGTGAAGAAATACTTTAGGAAAATACCGTGAGTTTGATCTGATCTGCAGAAAAGATGTAATGCTTGAAGAAATGATCCAAACCTTTTCGTAGTTCAGCAGATCGTCATGCAGCATATGTTTTTCGTCATCGGTGCAGCAAAATGCACGTTCATCGATTTCAAATCCTGTTGTCTCTAGCTAAACAAACTACCATGAACATAGAAGTTATGAAATAATCATTTCAATAAATCAAAAATGGTAAGCAGAAACATACTTCAGGAAAACAGCAAGAGTATAAAAAAATGAAGCAAAACCTTTTCATCATCATACAAGTCGTCATCCAACATATGTCCTTCGTCATCGATGCAATAAAATGTACGCTCATCAATTTCAAATGCTTTTATCTCTGCCTAAACAAAACACTACAATCATAAAAAGGAATAAATTTATAATTATATTCTAAGCTTAATGTCTCAAATAATTATTAAAAGACGGAAAAAAGATTCCATCATATGTATGGCACTAAAGAACATGAAATTTTTTTACAAATTCTTTGTATTATTATTACTAAAAAAGCAAATGGAGTTATATAATAGGAAATAAAAACCTCATCATTATCCTCCTCATCAAATCCTCTCTCAAATGCAACACCACCTTCCATATCTCCTTCGTCTTGCGCCATCAGCTCTGGATTGTAGGTGAACAAATCACGACCACTCATCCCGATCTGTAACATTCAAATCTTTTGAAGAAAAAATGCATATCGTCATAACCTTGAAAGGATTTATGATGTGAAAACGTCGATCGAAAAAGAAAAGTTTTACGTCAATTAACAATAGTATTAGGTAACAACAAATCTCATTACACTTTTTTCTCAATAATATGTCGTTTGGAAAAATTCTCGCCCAAAAAAAACGTTATTTCGAATAAAACCAATCTGTGTTCAAGTGATGACAGAAAACTATTGCATAAGAACTGATAGGTAAATCTCACCGATTTACCCGTCTTAATATTTTTCTTTTTTTCTTTCACTTCTTCTGCAATTTTTCTTTTCCGCTCTCGTAACTTCTTCTTTTTCCAACAGATAAATGTTTCCAGCGTCACTTTTGTTAGACTTTCTGACTTAAGTTGTGCACGCTGAAATGTTATCTGTAAAGAACAAGCGAGAAAAACATGAAATTTTGCAACACTTTAAACATTTTCAAAACTTCAAATACCTCTTTCTCCAGGAGTTCTTCCAGACTGATTTCGTTTAGCCGTTTATGCTCCTCCAATTTTTTCCTATCTTTCTTCAGGATATAACCTGATGGCAAGGCATGCCTATAAATACAACTGTCGCCATTTGGACATTCCCAAAACCAACCATATTTGTTATTCTCAACAGCTTCCAGAAAATATTTACAAACCTGGAAAGAAAAACAAAATTAATACAGATAAGGAATATTATTTGAGAATATATGCTTGTTACGTACATCGAAACTTACAATATCTGTTTGATTCGGCCTTTTTCTATCATGTTCTCCATGTTTCTTCTCGGCAACTTCGCTTAATTTAGACTCATCCCAATCATCTGTGTTCTCTGAAAAGGAACACTTACGAATGTCAATAATTTCATCGTTACGACACATTAGTAAAGAATAGGAATTTGAAATATGTAAAATATCAACACAACTGAAAGAAGATATCACTTCTGCAGAATTAGCAAGAGCGGAGAGAACAACTTCCCTTCTCTTTCCCTTTACCTCCATCTGCTCCATTTTTATTCTTTCCTTTTACCCCCATCTGCTCTATTCTTATTGTAGACGACAAGCAAAAACATAATATTTACCGTCTTCTTTTGATAAATCTCGACTGTCAACATAAAGATTCTTTTTAGCTGTCTTCTGCTCCTTCGACAAGTCGTGACTAAATTTGCACTTTTCACCCTTGTGGCACATTCCCTGCTTATAAAACACACAAACTACTGATTTAGGATCGACATCTGCAATTGAGAGTAGACCATATAAAAGCTTCATACAAATATCAAAGAGACATTATTGTTACTAATCGTTGCTAAGAGCCACAGATATAACCACATGCCTTTAATACAAGTAACCTAGACTAGACGGATAAAGATCAAAACTTTCACATTCCGTGGCGCAATGCAAATATCATTTTGGAAACACAACAAAATGTGCAGCCAATGACAAAAAGTTTTCCTAGATACCGTACAAATCAAGATATACCTCGTGCCACCTTAGACATCTCAGTCACAGGTTTCAAAAGTTTATTCAAATCCCGTAGTTCACCATCGGCTGTTTTCTTCTTAGACGCAGCTTTCTCTGCATCAATTTTCGCATGGTTTACATTGCCGTATTTAATCTTCAAAAGGAGATGACCTGTTTAAAAATTAAATCTAAATTAAAGTCAGGCATTGAATTCATTCTTCATTCTCTGTCTGATGCATCTCACACCCTTATCTTTGTTTATACAAAAACAGTGCTAGCACAATAGTATTGTCGAAAGCTATCGACAAAATCAGAGATACTTTAACACCGAAAATTTCAAGTAATGACTTAAAAAAACAAAGCAAGGAAAGAAAACAGCAAAATGGTAGAATTTTTTCTGAAATAAACAGACTGTTACCATAGATCTACCAGAGCTGCACTTCAAGCGATGTAATTTACCTGATTTGTTACTTGTTGCACATATTTCTGTGTCCTTGCTCCTTTCTTATTTTTTAGTCCAAATGTTTTATCTTCAATTACTTTTTCTTTTTTTTTCGGGTCGGTTTTTTTGTTTGGAGCATTCTTTGGCGGCATATTGAAGAATTTTTTCTGAAATTTTTAAAAGTGTCAATTGCAAATAAATCGAATGCAGTATATCACTAAGCCGAGGAAGTGGTTAGTGAGGTTTTGAAAAAAGAAGAAATAGATATTGTAAAAGTAAAGCGCTAGAGATTTATATTCATCAGTAGATTTTTATAAGACAGATAAAAGGTAACAATAAGAAACGTTGAATCATCAGCCATGTAAAACAAAGTCTGAATTAGTAAAGAGATGGAGCCCAGATCTAGGAAGTTTAAAGTGAAAGCTATGTGTGACCAACCAACCCTGGTAATAAGCTTCATTCGACCTTTCAGGTGATTATATTATTTCTCGTCGAGGTCAAAGGTATTAGTATCATAATGGAGAAGAACTACCCCCTCCCTCTCTCATCCCACCAACTACCAATGAAAGCGACCACAACACAAATTCTCGATTACACAGTAGCACAGCAGCAGTGGCATTTACGTTGCATGCTGTATTTAGTGAAATGGGTTCTCGAGATAGTTTAGATTGGTAATTGATTGGCAGGAATACCGGAGAGTTTCACTCTTTATTTGCTCTACCTAGAATAGTCTTATTGAAATTGGTTTAGTTGCGTTTAGGATGTATTCTTTAGAAGTATTCATGTCTTCCTTTATCTACAAGAAATGTAGTTTGTCAGGAGGTTCGAGTTCAGTTTAAATAGAGTACTATTTTAAAAAAGTTATCATTATGGTCTGCTATAACGCGTCTTCATCCCTATCCTGGGATCTACGAAACATTTTATCCCTATCCACATGTATTGTATGCATGAATGTTTTCTTTTGATTTCAGGTTGACGGAAACTGTTATGATATGCTACAACGCGTCTATAGATCATTTGGTGATGATGAAAGCGCCGATGTGGCAGATTTATCAAATTCTCCTACGGATGGCACTTCACAGAATCAGGTTTGTCTGTACTCTCCGCATTTCTTCCTTTATTTCACTTTCATTTGCCTCGATGGAAGATGCGATAGTTCAAGTCTAGAACTTATTCAACTCACCCAAACTCTCCAAGTATATGCTTCGGATGATAACAAAATAATGAAGAATGACAGTGATTTCATTTTCAGTCTGATGAAGCTTCATCCTTATCTTGGGATCTACGAGTACAATGTTTTCTTGGCTGCCTCTGTCTCTCAGTAATATGCTCTTTAGGTGGAAGCGCCCTACTTTTTACATGGAGAATTACCGGTTTTGCTGTGATGGTATCTTTGGGTAGTATTTTGTCGCTCTTTGGGTTCGTTTTTATATCATTCATTTTACAAATTAATTCTTTCCAATACTTCCTCTTTGGTGATACTGTTGATAAAAGAGCATCTGAAAAATATTTCAGAGAATTTATGAACACTATGAAAGACTACTTTCTTCTCTATATTCATCTACATCCCTCATTGAATAAGCTGTTAGATTTATCATAAGAATCATTATTCAAACAATATTCGTTTTTGTTTCAATTTTTGAGGTTAGCAGAATCAAATATTTTTTAACAATTTGCTTTTTTTAGGACATGTTTTTTAATGGGTCCTTTAAAACAGTTACAAAAAATGTTTGAACGAGGGCGTTTGTTAGCATCCCTCATGTATTTGCTCTCTATAGTCTTCACACTGATAGCCGGCCTTATTTTCTCGAACCCTCCGCTGGCACTTGTTTTCGTCATTGGACAGTATATTGCAATGACCTGGTACTCTATAACATATATACCCTTCGCACGGTATGGCTTTATGTTATTTAGCATATGCTTCCATTATCAATCTTTCTTGCAGTTATTGCTACAAAAAAAAATACTGTGATATAAGCTGGCTTGCAGCTTCGTGATTTTATCATACTACTAGTGCATGCATTTCAGAGAGGCGGTGTTGTCGCTGCGCTGCAACTGCTTTAGCTGACATACCAATCAGTAGGTAAATTTTCAGAAACACTCCTGAAAACGCCACGTATATGGTTCTGATTTGCATTCCGAAAGCTGTAATTTTTTAGAATGCAGTGGTATCATTTTTCTATTGCTTGTATTTTGCTTTGAATATAGTAGTACTCTTTCCTGATCTCAAATTAGCATTGAAATGGTCAAATTTTTATTACTTTAGAACTGGATGCGGATGCATTTGGATGCAGAAAACTAAATGCAATTAAAAAACTGGATGTATTCTAATTTTTTAGTTGAGGATATTATAATTCTTTTTCTCAATTTCTCTGTTCTAATATAAATTACTAATTTGAATTGTGTTATTGGTGGTATAATTTTTTAATGGAAGTATTAGCTAGAATGTTGGATGATAGGAAGCTGAGTTGCCATCTGTTTCACATTATTTTGGCCTACATTGATTGAAATTTTTTAAGTTGACTAGTCTCGCATCTTCTTTCAAAGTATAAAATTGATAAAAGGTTGTATATTTTCTATGTAATTATAAGCACTGCACACTATTGGATAATTAAACAACTTGCATACATATTTTTCATATGTGATAGTACACTGGTTTCACAGCATATCTTTCTGTCATTTTAATGGTAAATGTAAATAGTATTTTGTCACAATATTTTTCAGTTGGCAGTTTGCAATGAATTGCAAAGAAGTGATATTAAACCGACCTGACTTGACCTCTTATGATGTGTATTGTCATACATTTATTTCTGACAATACAATGAAGTGATAACAGTCTATCAGTTAGTAGGATTTTTTTATTTTTAGACTCTTCCTCCTTCCTAATTCCATTTTTTCTTCATTTTTCGGTTGTATTTTTGTGCGAAAATATTTGCTTTTAATATATGTCATTGAATCAAGTCACATAATTTTTAAGCTTTGCATATAATTTTTAAACTTTTTAAATGTTCTCCAATTTGATCCTTAAATATTCATCAATTTGGCATCTTTGGTGGCTGCTGTCTTTTGTGATGAAACAATTTCTTACATTTATAATTTTCTCGCCACTCGCTAGTGGACATCTTTATTGTTAACAGTTTTTTAGCAAACCAGTAAGTCAATGCTTTTGGGAATAAAAGTCAAAAATGTTGCAGGGAGTTAATCACATTTAAAGTAATTAATCGACGCAATCTTTCGAGAAATCTGATTTTGGCAATCTGCTAGAGCTATCAGCATCTGTGTTATATCGAAGTACAGCGGAATATGCATTTTGACTACAGCAGAGGGATTTTAAGATAGATCAGTATGTAAAAGTGCCGACGTTTTGAGATGAGTAATTTAATGAATGATGAATTTGAATAATATGAATTTAAAATCGAATTCTTTTGTTATCAGAAAATATGAAATCAAAGATAAAATTCTACTTAACGAAATATCAGAAAAATAAATGAGACATGATTTTCATCGACAGGACATATCCAAAGGAGAATTCAATTTATCTCGCATCACTCTATCACACATTTTGAATACAAATTCAGCTTCTCAGTGCATCTCCTTTTAAAACAACTCAATGCTATTAATTAACATTTAAGTATCTTAATGATAAGAGCGGAAAAATATTTGAATTAATTATTAAAGTAATAATATTTATGAATGGAATGTGATTAACACATTGATAATCATTGTAAGAACATCTTCGAAAATTGAAAAACTAGTATGAATTGTTACACTGTATCTCGTTTCTATCAATACTAGTAAAATTTCATTTTCACTCTACTTCAAACATTCATTTCTCTTAAAAAGCATCAACTGTCACATTTCCATGCTTCAAATTTCAGTGATGTAAAATATAGCATCTAGAAAATGGATCCAGCTGTCAAAATAGCAACGATTATTGTCATGTTCAATTACGATCTCATCATTGCTCTTCAACACTGAACACAGTCCAATCTTAGTCACTCATATGCTCAGAGTTATAGTTTAAATTTCTCCTATTCAAGTAGCGAATTATTAAACACTGATTACTTGAATTGCTTTGATGGAAGCTGTCATCAATCATAAGGGTTATAAATTAATAATTACTAGCTGCTCACAGCTAACATTTTCACTTTTAAATGCAAACACAAATAAATAAATGTGTTCTAAACATAAATTTACCCGAATAATATTTCATTATTTTAGATTTAAATTTTGAGCACTTTTGAAATGTTTGAAAACAGCCTTCTCTTCCTTAAAATTTTGCTCATAAGCAATATTTTGCGCTCCTACCAGGTAACACATCCTTTTTCATATTACGCCTTTGCTAAATCTTACATATTGCAAGCAAGATTTGTAAGTGAAATTGCTGCCACGATTTTCGGAAATACGTAAATGAACAGTGTGATAATATCCAACAGAGAAAGAACGAATTATTCCAATAACTGAATTATCAGCTTTGTTTTATACTTTGAAATAAAATTAAATGATAAGGTGTTTGGTGAAAAGCTTTTAATTTCATTCCCCCTTCAGGGTGTAATGCAATATCTTCCCCGTTAAAATAACCCGCATTCACCTATCATTATTTATTTGTTTCGTTTTTTTTAATCCAACAATTTCAATTTAGTACTTTACAAGTTCATACTCAAAGGTCATCCATCTTTATTTTTGCCTTATATTCTTCTTATCGTTCGTTATCATTTGAGAACAATCATGCAATTGTTCATGTACTTAACAATTAAATCTTTCGATGATAGAAGATCACAGCAAATGACCGATAGCTAAACGACATAAAAAAGTGTTGAATAAAGACAGATGTCATATATCAATGATGAATTAACAAATTTATCTTCTATCACTTTTCATTTCATATTCAGAATACTTTCAAATATTTGACAATTTATATATTAAACATTAGTAGTGCAAGTGATTTCATTTTTAATTCATTATTACTTCTTTAGTTCATAATCAAAAGTTATCCATTCATTCTTATTATCATTTATTGAAGTCAATCAATAAAAGGATTGATTTAACAAATTAAAAAGTTTCAACAATGTGATAAATTTAATTTAATTTAATTAATAATTAATAATTTCAACAAAATTTCAACAATATTTAATAATGTAAAGAATTTTCTGATGAAATACTCATTTCAACATTTTTCAACAAATAAATACTCAAAAAATACCTTTCATTTTGAATGTTTGTTTTTTCCTTTATTAATTTGCTTTAAAAAAAAAAACAAAATAGCTTTTCCTTCGAAAAGAGTAATGAAATATTTTAGAAAATGATTAGTTTTACAGAAAGAACTTGTTATGCTTTCTCTTCTTTCCGCTTTATTTCCACCTTTCTTCGATTTTAAAATCAATTTTTTCCTTTTTTTTTTTTAACTTATAATAAATGAAGTTTATTCGTCGTACAATAAAACATTTATCCTTGATTGTCGTAATTTCTACTTCTTCATCGTCATAATAATTCTTCATCGTTTCTATTCTTCATCCCATAATAACTAAAAGTATGAAACCATAAATGCTTTTCTGAAGATGCTAGTTTAAAATCTCCAAGAATCATTTATATTTTAATAATAATAATGCTCTTCTTTTTTTATTATACCTTTTGATTATTGCCAGAAATTTTGATTGTTACCAGATGGTAGAAATTAATTTTCAGTTATGCAACGACAGGTATTCCTTATCATTTGCTATTCGCTATTATATCATTGGTGTATTCAAGAAGGTGAACGAACTATTGATTATAATTGGAAATTATTAAAAGCTCCTCGATTTTATTTGGAGATACCCCATTTAAGGGATGCAAAAAATGGAAGTAATCATCGACTTCCACCGCCATTAATTGGCCAAGGTTCATTGAAGCAAAAGTTGGATCATTTCGATAGCAATGATAAACGAAATTGGGAACAAGTAAATTTTCATTACTTCGCATATTTTTTGTGCATATATTTAAAGGTTAAAAAAAAATTTACAATTTTGCAGTTTTACACTCATAGAAAATCACCATATCAAAGTCCTGATGGTGCGGTATTTCTGGTAATTAGTGGCGAAGGTGGAGCAGATAATGCTTGGCTAACAAATCAGGGCTTACCATATATTCAGCTAGCAGATCAGATTAATGCTAGCATATTTATGCTCGAACATCGATTTTACGGTAGCAGTCATCCCACAAAGTATTCTCTTCCTTCATCATAAATTAACTTCATTTCAAATCATTGATTTCATCAAATTATTTACAAATTAGTTGTTGTGGAATGAATAACAACACATTTGATCAATTAATTTAGATGCAATCGTTCTTTAATTTCAGTGACACTTCTATTGAAAGTCTAAAATATCTTAATGCAAAACAGGCTGTCGAAGATATTGATAGATTTGTTCAAGAAATAAATCAACAAGAGAAATTAACAAATCCGAAATGGATTACTTTTGGTGGAAGTTATTCCGGTTAGATTATCTGTTTAATTTTTTACTTTTGAGAGAACACAATTTGATATTATTGAAAATCAAATTAGCCTCATTTAATTTTATTTTTAATTAAAATTTAATGAATTTGAAATTAATGAGATTGGATAAATAATTGAGTTGTTTATTGGTCAATTGAGTCAATGAAACTTTTGATATACAATAACTGTACAGTCTATTTTTAGCCTAATTTTCAAAAAAATTAAAGGGGAAAATTTTCTGCGCACAAACACGTATCTTTAGTGGAAAGTGTTGTAACAATTGTTGCAGTAAGAATTTCTCTATTATTTTTTCTAAAAGAGAAAAAGAAAGAAAAACGATAATTGTAATAAACTAAACAGCAATATATGACATTTCTTTTATTGTAATGGGAAAGGATTTCTCAGGTATTTTACAATTTATCTAACAGCTAATTAAAATTTCATAAAGAAGAAGTTTAAAATTATTCAAACTTAATATCTTCTACAAAAAAAACTCTCTTGTTACACTTATTATATCTATACCAAAGGAATCAATAAAGTATGATAACTATGAATCTAAAAATCTTGGGAAGTAATTAACTGCTATTAAATGTTCTACTAAAGAAAGGAATCAATAAAGCATGATTACTGTGAATCTAAAAATCCTGCAAATAACTAATTGCTATTAAATGTCCTACTACAGAAAGGAATCAATAAAGCATGATTACTGTGAATCTAAAAATCTTGAAACTAACTGCTATTAAATGTTCTACTACACAAAGGAATCAATAAAGCATAATTAGTATGAATCTAAAAATCTTGGAAATAACTAATTACTACTTAAACGTTCTGCTAAACAAAACAAATCATATTACATCACTAACTGTTTTTCTACAACTAAACTTCAAAAATAGATGTTTAAGTAAGTTCTGATGTTTACTTAACAGGTAATTTGGCAGCGTGGTCTCGAGCAAAGCATCCTCAAACTATCCGAGCAGCAGTAGCAAGTTCAGCTCCTTTACAGGCTAAACTTAATTTTAAAGGCAAAAATTTTTACTCAAATTTTGTTTCATTTTTCAATGAGAATATAACTAGAAAAAAAATGAGATTAGTAGATCAAGAATCAAAACAATCGATGACTTATTGATTAGTAGATCAAGAATCAAAACAGTTGATGACTTATTGATCTAAAGGGTACAAAAGAGAATTTTGCATTTCTCATTAACAATTATAATAGATTAACATGAAAATTACAGAATTTGAAAGACAGGTTGAAAAAATTATTGGTAAGAAAGATGCTGAATGTGTCGCGGTGATACGAAAATTATTCCAGAAGATGCGACAAATGTCGACAACACTTGAAGGCAGGCGTGAACTTGCGAAGATATTTCGGTGTTGAGAAACTTTCATTTCTTTTTTTTCAAACATTTACTTTGATTTAAATCTTACATAGATTGGAAAAGTAATTGCCAAAAAATTGATTTCCTCCACTTTTTAGATTAGATAATTCATTAATTCGGCCAACAGTATCCTCGAATGATATCGCTAATTTCTTTCTTGTAATCAGTAATTATATCAGTTTTATCGTAATGCACAGTGGAATCAATGTGGTATGTTGCATATTGTGATTAATGATTTCTGCAATATTGACAAAATTTTAAAATTCTTCAAATTTCAATTTCAATTTTTGTTTCCAAAAAAATTCCAAAAAAGTCACTATATTACAATTGAAGAAATGAAGCAATTAATTATCAATTAATTTGAAACTGAAGCGAAATTTTTGTGAGCTTTCAGAAGAATCATCGCGATTCATTGACCCTAGACGTGATGTGTCGCAATTTAACCTATTCACCAACACTAGAATCTATACGATCACTTATTGGAATGATTATGAAATCTCACGGAAAGCCATCAAATTCCATTATTGATATCGGCTACAATAATTTTCTCGATTTCGTGCGTGATGAACGTTGGAATACACGCAGGACACAATGTTAGTATCATTCGTTCTGCATTATTCCTATAAGAGGCGAAAGAGAAAAAAGCCTAAGTGGGTAAGTATCAATTTTGAGTTAATTCTCCAAGCCTAGCTGGGCCGAGCAGATGTTTCAACGAAATGAGATAAAATGTCGCAGTCCACCGAACCTTAAATGTAATTGATAAATATTTAATTTAATTAAACTTAGCCATATATGCCATGATTGGAAATAATAAACAAATATTTAAAAGTGGAAGTAAGAGGAATTGATTTTGAATAGTAAAAAAATTTTGTGACAGATTAAATAAATATGAACTTGCGACTGATTGATTATTTTCAAGCTCGTGCATGGCTTTATCAAAATTGTCATGAATTTGGCCATTTTCGAACCAGCGAAGAAATAAATGGTTTATTTGGTGGTACGCTACCACTAAGGTGCCTTTACAGATTTTGAATGTAATAGTTATTACGGGTCATTTTGTAAGAAGAAATTTTAATTTATTTTAAAATATATTTTCAACTGGTCATAATATAGTTTCATTATAATATAACTCATAATATAATATAACATAATATAATCATAGTATAATCATAATCATAATCATAATATAGGGTGTTGAAACACTTTCAATTCCATCTCTGATCCGCACACACTGAACACGAAGCTGAACACTCTCAGATGTCGAAAGTGAGTATGATGTTGACATACCTTCGTATGCCTATAAAAAAACTTTCCGCA